GTTTTTTTTTTCCAGCTTTTTATCCCCGCATTTATTGTTATGTTTCTTTTTATTTTTTATCTTTTTTTATCAATGGCACAGTTATTTAGGTCGAAAAGACATAGCTTTGAACTTCCGAATCTCTATAAGCATGTCACAAGATTCTGACGACGAGTTTCCGACAATGACCATCTACGCGACCTTTTATGCAGTGAAGAGCGGCAGCAAGCTATACATATGCCCCCCCCCCCCCCCCCCCCCCCTCCCCTCCCCCGCTTTTCTTCTTCCGACGCCACTTGTATGGCAGAACGCTCCTCGACCTCGAGTTGTGCCGGCTTCTGTGCTTTTGTCGAGGCGTTTCCTCCGTCCCGGAAAATAAACCTCCAGGACAATTACAAACTTAATTTACTATATGCCAGCGTCACTCGGGCGGCGTAGTTCGATCGGATTACTACCAGACTCCAAAAGCGTGGGGAGGTAGTTTGCCAGATCGCCTTCAAGGTTTTTCTGAGCCTCAACCTCCTGCCCGCCCCTGGCCGTTTCTAACTGGATGAGTATCGTAAAACAGTGCGTTCGTGTGATCACTACTGTGAGATGCCTCCCCGGCTGGCGGTCACAATTATTGATCTATGGTCACACGTCACTCTGCACTGGCAATTATTCCAGCACATCCGGGACACTCGTCGTCTCATTTAATTGCCTGACCCAAGTTCGAGGAGTCTAAATATCACACCCAAACTTTTCTAAACCTGATTTCGTGAAAACCAGTGAGTCGTGAAAACGTTATTTTAAACTGAAACTGTGGAGGAACATGAAAACCGGACTACGAACTTCGAAAACTTGGACCTAAAAGAAATTCGAAATCTTCGAAGTTTTTTGTTTGTTTTTTCGAATAAGCGTTAAAAGAGAATCGAAACCTTCGAACTTTTCGAACTTTATGTAAAAAGAAGTTCGAAATCTTCAAAATTTTCGACCTTTTAGAACGCAGCTCTTAGGCGCCCGTTTCCGGCTTGAGCGGCGTCGCCGTCGCCGTCGGCGTAACCAAGGTCACCCCAAGGTCACGTGACCCCCCAAGGTCACCCCAAGGTCACCCCAAGGTCACGTGACCCCTCCCAAGGTCACATGACCGCCCAGGTCACGTGACCCCCAAGTCACGTGACCCCCCTAGGTCACGTGGCCCCCTCCCCGAGGTCACGTGACCCCCCTCGCCCCCCGAAGTCACGCGACACCCCCCCCCCTCGAGGTCACGTTACCCCCCTCCCCCGAGGTCGGGTGACCCCCCCGGAGCATATTAAAGAATGAGGGGAGGAGGAAAAGAAGGAGGAGGAGGGGTCTACCCTCCCCTCAGTACCCTTCCCTCCTCCTCCTCCTCAAGAGCTGCGCTCCAATTCGGCGTTACAGGGAGTTGTAAACGGCTTTCACTTTTTTCTGTAAAAATTCGAAGCGTTCGAATTTTTCGAATTTTATATCCAAAGAATTTTGAAATCTTCAAATTTTTCAAATTTCAGATTTCAGGAAATTCGAAATTTTCGAATATCTCGAATTCAAGTTAGGAAAGGTCGAAATCGTCCAATTTATCGAACCTCAAGTAAAAACATATTCGAAATATTCGAACCCGAAATTTTAGAAACCGTGAAAGCTTCGAACTTTTCGAATTCGAAACTCCACTGTGATCGAAAGTTGAAAATTTTTTGAAATCGAACCTCGGTCGGTACGAAAATATCGAAAAAGTTTCGAATTCGAACCTCAGTTCGCTTCGAAAATATCGAAACCCTTCGAAATCGAGCCTAGGGTGGTTCGCGACATCCCTAGATCCGACCGCTTCCGAGCGTTCCGAAGGCCCTGGGCGAGGAGAGTTGGCTTGCGTTTTGGCAACTCGAAGTGGCCCCCATTCTGAACCGCTCTTTACCCCGTGTTATCCGTGTCTGCTGTCGTTTATGGTCATTGAAGTGCCATGCCGAATCGACATCGACAACGCCACTGCTTCGCTCCGGGGTGCCAGAGCGGCTATCAGTGGCGAAAGGGTGAGCAGCCGTCGCTGTTCGATCAGTACCTTAGGAGGAAGAGCAAAGAAAAGTTTGGGAACGGAACTTGCATCGCCAGGATAGGCTCCTGGACGAAACGTGTTCGGTGTGTGAGCTTCACTTTGAGCCATCGTTTATAACGCGAGACTTCGCTCACATTATAAACGATGAAGAGGTGCGCATTCCGCGTGGAAAGCCGCAGCTCTTGTCGTTGCTTCCGAATGCTCCGAGCTACCGATCAAAGAAAGCGTCGCAGCCAAGGCCCATGAGAAAGCGAAAAAACGCCGATGCTTTCTCAGTTGACGGTAAAAAAAGGCCAAACACTGCCTCTCCAACTGCCTGCAGCAGCACTAGCAGCACCACACCGGCTGCAGCCAATACCGAGGCGTTTGATGAAGCCTGTATGCCCGAAGAATACTCCACGCTGCGTGTCCCCCCGAGTACTGGAGCCGTCACCGAGTTCCGAGCAGCAGTGGTTTCGTGTATTGTAAACTTAAAATGGGTGGCAATGAAGTTTTATCCGAGAGAGTAGTGATTTTTTCACGAAACAGCATGCCTGGTGTTTTATAAACTTTTCATCTTTGTGGCCGCATATGGCTGAAGGAGGACGCGTCGTCAGCTGCGAGGAAGCGGAGGTTCTTCTCCGAGACGTCGACTCCTGTCGTCTATGTGGAGGCGCCGTGCCGACGAAAAATAAGTCCCGCGAACAATTCTGGTAAAATGTAAACACATTGGAACCTATAGTGAGATCCCACCGCGTCGCGAAAATTAGAACCCGCGAATTATTTCGAAACTTTAGCTTCGACCTAAATCGCAAAATATTGAGCCCGCGAAAAATAAGACGTTTACAGTATTGTGTTTTTGCTGAGTTTAACTAATAAAAAGTGTATTCATGTATAAATTACAGGGTTTGCTGTCACACGAGTTCTTTTTGTCCAGCAGTATTTACCCAACAGGTTTCTTTGAAAAGCTTAACGAGACACATAATGGTGAATCAATAAAGGAGATTAAACCTTGGGGCTAACTATGCACGGTTTCAATACTAGGTATAAAAGGAATGCCCTGTTAAAACGATCGCATGCCATTCTTGAGGCTTGAGCCGTGATTTTTTAAATGTCTAGGAAACATCAATATGATCCTGTCTCAATATTACAACTAGCCATTTATGCTCGCGAGTGAAGGACTTCTTGACCATTAAATAGCTTCACCCTGTTTCTAATGAGAGACTCCTAACAAGCCCACCCGCCATAAAAAAAAAAAAGAAGAAAATTGCACGAACATTTTGGTTTTGCAACGCCGCCCAGGAAATCGAACTGGCGGTGTTCTTCCACGTCACGCATTTCTGCTTCGTACCCCACGCAAAGCGAACACGGCCAGACGAATTGCGTCATTTTTGTGTCGCGTATTTCTTTTATGGGGTTCGGACCTAAAGCAGCAAACATTTGGAGCCGAAAAGCTCCAACAAATTGTGTTTATTCGCGCAGCAAATAGAATGCGAGCCGCCCTGGCCACCCGCTTCATCCAGCCCATGTATTCGCGGCGCCCTCTCGAGCCGTCGACACGAAATGCGGCCGCCGTCAGCGCGCGCTGCACTCACTGCCCGTCCTCTAGTTCAGCTGCCGAGGTAGCGGCCGACAACCGAGCGCGCGCTTTCGTGAAGTGGCCGCGCCGCGCTGAGCTCGGCCGTGCAGCCCCTCCGGAGTTTGCCCGTGCGGACTCTGCGGCCAGGCCCGCGTCCCGGCGGCCGGACCGCTGCGTGCGCTGCGCCGCCATGGAGAGGGCTTCTCTGGTGGCGTTCCTTGGAACTACGCCACGCGAGAGCCGATGGGAGCCTCGTTCCTTGAAACTATGACGCGCGCCAGCCAATAGCAGCCTAACCATGAGATTTTTGCTACAGACGACAGGCTTCGGTCCATACAGGAGAAGGTGCCATTTGGCGCGGCTTTAAAAGCTGATGACGTCGGTTCGCTCCATGGGACCAGGTAATGCTTTCGCATTAAAAAGTGATCACACCGTGCTACAAAAGCACTAAAGTAGAAAAATCACAGTTCTTGCACAAGAGCCTCCGCCGTGGCACGGCGCGATACACAGAGCGCTGCACGGAGCCGATGGAGCAACGCGGCCGTGGTGGACGAGTCCGATAGCGAGAAAAACGAACTAAATTACACACAAAAAATGAAAAAAAAAAAACCTTCACAAGTCTCTGTAATGCGAATTTAGAGTGCAGCTCCTGAAAAGAAGGAGGGGAGTGTACACAGGGGAGTATGCCCTTCCTCCTTCTTTCCTCTCCTCCATACCCTCCCCTCCTCCTCCTGCGTACCCTCCAAACTCCAAACCTCCCCCTCCGTTCCCTCCCCATCGCTTTCTCTATACCCTCCCCTTCTCCCACAGTTTCCCCGCTAAATTTAGCGAAAAAATTGATGCAAAATCTCTTCAACACCAATTCAGTTTCCCCGCTAAATTTAGCGGCGAAAATAGAGTTTTCGTAGACCGCGTTTTCCCCTCCGCTAAGCTACAGTTGCCTAGAGCTAAGCCCTCCGCAACGAAGAAGCAGCTACTGCGCCTGCGCGCCGATAGCCTTGACTACGGCGCTTCAAAAGCACCGAAGTATAAAAATAGCCCATTGTTTCGCTCAAAAATACCGTTTAAAGTTGTAAAATGGTGCTAAACCGCGCTTAACAGGTCCGGCCAGACGACACTCGGTAGCTACCAGCAGCTACTTGGGATAGAAAGAGACCTCGAAGATGGCGACCGTGGTGGCCGATGCAGCGTACCTAGCGAGTGACGTCAAATAAATGTCATCTATAATAATAATAATAATAAATTACACTGCATATCACGTGCTAGACGTGCTTCAGTCGTGTGCGCTATCGCGACCTAGGTCTTTGTCCTGTAAATGTAGGCTGTTGTCACTTCCTTATCAGAAGAGCACTCGACATAAATAACCGACTGCTGTCGTGTCGACTAAACGCTGATAGCAGACGATAATTGAGAAGCCCGACTTTCGTAGTCGGGTCCTTGTCAGACCCGTCTGCAATTTTGTGGAAGCTCTCCACCATACAAATATAAGAATACATTTTACTAGGGTAAACTTTACATCAATATTAGTCGATTCGTAAAAGTTAATTTTTACTAAAACGTATTTATTTATGCAACTACGGCAGCTACAGCTTCAAAGCTGTCAACGAAACGGCCTAATTAGCTTTGTCCGTCAACATGGCAGCTGTCAGTACCCAACTTAACGGTATGCTTGTGTTTGTTTTCGAATTTCTTGCCTCTCAAGCCTGTCACCACACAGACACAACTGCATAACGAAAGAGGGGGCTCTCACGATGAGTCCCGCCAAAAGTTGCTAACATTGCAGGCGTTTTCTGCTTTGCTTCTGAGCAGTGCACAACAAGAGATAGTGGCCGAAGGTTGGAGCACTCTTTGATCGAGGAATATCTCCATTTGAAGGAAATCTTTTCTGCTGCATGTTTGCTTGCGAAGGGTTGTGACTGCAGCTGTTTATTATTTTCTTTGAAACTTTCCAGGTGTCTGCCTCCCCGCCGACAAAGAACCCACAGTCCTCCTAACAGGTGTGTGTAATTTCACTCGCTGGCATATTCGTTGATGTTTGCAAATCATAAATTTGTCTCGCGTCTGTGCTAAGTGTGCTCTGTCTAGTCAACGCAGACAGGTTCGCTTACTTTAAATCCACGCATGGGCCCATATACCGCTGGCGCAGATTGCGTTGTTTGTAATATTTCGTAGGCGAGCGCTCGCATGACTTGCACAAAAGTTCCATATCCTGACGTCTGCAACTTCTCTGGAGTACGATGTTGTGTGCGGTGTTTATAAATTTTCTCCTTATCAGTTTTGAAGCGTTTGGAGGAATGGGCAACGGCCAGCTTGCGTCGCGATAAGTTGGACCAATCGACGGTAGCCATTCGTCCAACCGTGATGTCATTTCTGCCTTACAGAAAAGCGTTTTTAAAAATGTCGAAGTTTCAACAATATAATTTTAATATAAATTTTGTTCTTTTTTATAAATTAAATTATCCACTTTACATTAACACCTTTTTTTTTTTTTAATCTAAAGCCAGATTTTAAATCAAGATAACATTTCTTTTTTTGTGAAAAGTTTATTTTGCAATTTACACATGTCCCATTTCAGCACTAAGTAACAAAAAAAATATTTTCTGGGTGTTTCACGTTTTATTAAAGTGGCAATGCAACAATTCTTGCACTGTCAGTAAATACCGCTTAAAGTTATTCCTCGACATTCATAACCTATAATACATGCGTTAGTTCTTCCTCCATGCAGTGGCAATCACAAAAAAAATATATATAAAGAAATTGAGACAAACAAACAGTGTTTGCCCCCTCAACTCACAGCCAGAACAAGTCGCCATGTGATCTGGAGTCGATTGTACGCCACCAATGTTTACCACAGCCACGCGCTGGGGTTGACAAAGCACAAAGCCCACGCCGAGTTTCACACATTGTTAAGGCTCAGCTATTCCAGTCATTGCAACGATGGGGCACAAGCCACAATCGGTGTGCGTGTCGAGGCATCATTTTGTCACGAGCCCAAAATTGAATGCTTATGCAGCGCTCGGTTCGTGCCTATGGCATTTTGTAAAGGCATTTACACGTCGTCGCGGGGATCACGAAACTTCATGACGAAATCCCGGGGATTGCATTGTTCGCATCGTCCCCGCAACTTTGTCGTTAAATTTTGCAAAGAAGAGACTGAAAAGAAAACCCAAAAATATCCGCTTTTATTTTTGAAATTATGCGGCAACAGAGACGCTTCTTGGTCAGTGGTGTTGCATGCGAGCGTACCCGGGTCCCTCTAGTGCCGGTAATTGCTTGTGTAAAGTGAAAAGCATTCTTACCAAATATCGTTGCGCTGCCCCTTTAATCCTTTGCCTACTAATATTGAGAGTCACTCCTGTCACCCCTTACAGACCAGAAAGCTGAATCAGAAGTGTGACTCACACTTCGGTTTTGGCGCTTGTTTAGTGCGCTCTTTGGAAGATAGCAAAACCACCCCTGTTGCTCCATGTACTTTGGGTATTTGCTCGTTTGTTTGGCTGTTTGACAAAATGCTTCATGTAGCCAAGAAACAAAAATAAAAGCAGCCGTTTGTGAGCGTTCACGGTAAGACAACGTGGCTTTGGCACGGAGGTCTGCTTTAGTTGACAAAGAGATACAAAAGCTCTTTGAAAGCAATTAATGCTCGGGCATTTGTGACGACGAATCCTTAAGCCTTTCCGATTGTTAGGAATCAGACAGTAGTTTGATGGGCAGTGACAGGAGTGATGAAAACAATGGGAATCCTGCAAGCATTCCATGAACTTCGGCATCTGCGCGTCCGTACGACTTGGATCAAAAGTCCTGATTTAGAGCAAGATACGACACCCGAAAATCAAGAAAATGTTTTTGTCTTATTTTAATGCAAATTGCCCGTTTAAAATAAAATTTTGCTGTACTTTCCTTGAAAGAAAAAAAAGACTTGGCGAGGGAATAGGCAAAATTTTATAGTTAGGGATTTGCCTCAAAATGTGTTCCATACATTAATAGACACATCTGAACTAATAGTGCAAATTACAAATCACAGTAATTTTTTTTCTTTTTTTTTGCAAAGTTACAGAATTTTAAAATTCGGTTCGATAGGCTGAGGGGCTTTACGGAAACACCGAAACCATGACGTCAAATGTGGGGGCGGTACAGCTTGTTCCCGACGAGTTATAAGAAGTGTGATGGTGCGAGATGAATGCTGAAAAGAAACTCGTGCCCGAACAACAAAAACAAAGATATATGCTCACAATACTGTGTGTTTTTAGACTGCCTGCTCGACTTGCAGGTTCTACGACATGCGACATTGCTTCCACTTGATGGCGCAGGAAAGTTTGGACGTTGGTTTATGGTATAACATTCATTTGCCATGTTCTCAATTGCTAGTTTGAATTTAGAGACAATAAATAGCGTACCGGGAAGAGTGGAAGCCTGCGTACACCAAAAAGGGATTTAGTTTGGGTGGCTCAGAAAACCGCCGGTGTCACTCTGCTCATCTGCAGGCGCTTTCTAAGGCATGTATCGTTGTGTGGCGGTCCTCTCACATTGGCCGTACAAAAACTCTGCAAACATGTTTGAGACACGCACATGCATAAAGCAAATATGCTTTGCACTAGCTGGAGGTGTGAGCACGGACAACTCTGTCGTTGCGTCTGCGGCAAACGCCGCGCCTTTTGAACGACGTACGAGCAGCGTGGCGGCGTCTTTAAAGTTTGCCGGACGCCACCGACCGTGCAGGGTTTGGCCTCTTCCGCGACTACCGGAGCAACTCCAGCAGTGAGGTGGTCAGGGCACTGGGCAAGACGGGCATCCCTGGCGTCCACCTGGTGGTGGTCGAAGTCCCCGTCGAGTATGAGGCGGTCTCCACCCTCGTGCCGAAGCTCTGGGAGCAGCACCGGCCTGTGGTGAGCGACGTGGGTGGTGCGATGTCTGAAAATGCCTCTCTGGCCAGTGTTTTTACCACCTGATGACCATCTGATGACCGTTTGAAGACGTCATAGAAAGTGTCATGCCATCGCCGGCCATAAAAAGCAGTTCCTCGATATCCGTCCGATGACGTCGTAGAAAGCATTGCCTCACTCCGGGACTTCTTTCGATGCACGAGCGGGATCGGACGCTAGACGCGCCGATCAAAGACGTGCTCTGGGCATCACAAGGGCGTTGCGCTCGGTCGTTTTCTCGCGTTCGCACACCATAAGCAGGGGTGGAACGGCTGCGCCATTTGCGCCATTTTGCGCCAGACGCATTTGTCTGCGCCATCCTGCGCCATTTCACGGAAACTGCGCCACAGCCAATACCTTGCGCCATTATGCACCAAATCGCACAACGTGCGCCAAAAACAAAAAAGTATTTTGTCTTGGTTTCGGTTCCTATCGACTCGATTGGCAACAATTAGCCGGTTTAGCTTGGTCGGCCTTGCAATCCTTTGTTCTGTTTATTCTCCCTGTGTATCCCGAGTCGGAAGCGCGCGAAAAAACTCGGGGATCGGATTCGAATCGCTACACCTGCGACTGGACTGTTATTCTTCAACCATAAGCTGTTAAGCAAGTCGGCCGAGGTGAGGTCGAGTCGTTAAGCGTCAGATTGCCTGAGGCTCTGCAGCCCGGGATCCGGACGTCAGCCAATTGAAAACAAATGAGCAAAATACTCCTTTTAGTACTTCATCGTTAGAAGTTGAAACAGCATTCCCGCAAGATAATTGCGATTTGATAGAACTGAAACGCGGTCCCATCCGGAACCTTGCCTGCCAGCTGCTGTCACGCGAGCGGTAGATCTGCTCGGCGTACTTCAACCTTGCTCCCGCTAATCGCTTTGAATACGATAACTCCGTTAATCGTAGTCTACTGCCTCGATATTGAGTTGCACAATAGGATAAACTCGAAATTTGTTGCCCTGTTCCCCCACGCAACTGCACGTCCGTTGCTTACGCACGTCACGTGGTTCGCACATATAATTACTATGTCGAGCACGTGTGGGAATTGTGCGATAAGCAGTGCTGATTTGCATTTTGAGGAGCTGAAAGCCACTCAGAAAGTATCAAGGACACCATCTTCAGAAACCTATGGTACTTGCTTTTTGATTCTCATTAAGGCTCACAAAGTTTCAAGTTTTGGCATCTGTTACACTGTTATCCCATTACATAGGTCCCTAACCACTCATGTTCATCTGTGCTGCTAAGCACAATTGAAATTGCTCCCGTGCTCGTCTAAGACACAAGCTGAAGTGCAGTGAAAACTGATCTGAGCTGCTCCTAGCCTGCTCCAGAACGTCGTTTTAGCTGCTCCCAACCTGCTCCAAAACAGCGGTTTCAGCTGCTCCCGTGGCTGCTCCCAAATGCATTTCATGAGTTCCACCCCTGCATAAGCTGTTCGTAACGTCTGCTCTCGCAACTGAGTAAGTAGTACAAAGAATTAAGTAACTAGTACGAAGAATTAACGGCACCGAAACGGCGTTGCGGCGAACGGGCCTTGATTCTGCACTCTTTTTTGTGTGCGATTTGCTTAGCCAGTGATGGCATACCCACAAGGACGAGAAGCACCGTGACGATGCACTTTTGGCGCCGCTCGATCGGCTCCGTTGGATCGGAGTGTCGGCTGCGGCAACAAAGGACGTCGCGAACGCCGGAGCGTCGTGCTGTCGGACGTCGCAATCCTTGCAATCGGGTGTGAAAGCTACGGAAAAAATAAACCGCAAAGGAATGCATCTGTCTCCGCCGTTGCGGCGTCCCAACTCCCGACTGCCGAAGCAGCTTTTGGGGACCGTCGAGCAGGAGAGGGACCTGCAGTGGGACGTGCGTCTGCCACCACCACCGCTTCTGTGACACAGCTGATGTCGCAGCTGGCGACGGCGTGACCCTTCTATGACGTCATCGAGCGGAAATGGAAGGACCATACCTTTTGGGTTGTGGTAAATGCACCAATCGGAGATGCGTTTGAGGCACCGATCTTGCTGTGTCAGTTCCTATTGGCTTCCTAAGTTGCTATGAAACTTCAATGGCTAACTCTAATTAACTGGGAGCTGTCTCTTGGCTGCATGGTCGCAATCCATGGGAAGGTTAGTGCACAATCGTTGACCATCTCCCGATAAGTGTCTTGATGCGCGACTTGACTCCATGATGTCGCATGACGTCCGGTCACGTGACTTAAATTTCCTCGCTAAATTTGTTGGGGAGATTGAATTGGCGACTTGATACTGATGTCGCGTTACGGACACAGCGTCACATGACAGTGCAACACTTAAGGTGACACGGTCGCACGACGTAATATGGTGTGATGTGACATAACGTTACACGACATTGCATAGTGTCGCATTGCGTCAGGTGACACAACGACTCGACACAACAACGTTGGGCTACGTTTAACATCTTCTAATCTAAACGATCGCTCCTTACATGCTGCGTGCCGTGCGTTATAGAACTTTGGAGATGAAAGTTGCCGCCAACGTTTTGGTTCCTGTCGAGTTTCGTGCGATGTGGCACTACTCCTGCAGCATTCTGCGGCTCACTGCTGGCGCGCACCTTCGAATGAGCGCTTAATTTGCAGCTCGCAGTGCACTGCGGAATGGACGCGGGGGCCCAGGCGCTGGCGCTGGAACAGGTGGCCAACAATGGCGGCTACTGTGCTCTCGACAACCAGGGGGCGGTGCCTTCCCAGGTGAGGCTCGCCACAGCTGCAGCTGCGATCACGGACAGATTGAGAACGGCTGGGCGCGTCTTTCGAACGCCCGGCCTCCAGCACACGGCTCATGCCCTTCTCCGTCTTGCCAATTTAGCGGTTTTCCCGCTAGATTTAGCAGTCTTTCGAGTCGTCTAGCGGAAGAAATGGTCGCGGTGGGATTTTTAGTGGTTTTTGTGTCGTAAAGAAAGAATAAAACATTTAAGGGGACAAACATACACCATTTTTTCAAAGTGCAATAACATTTACAGATATTCGTCACACTGGGAATTTCCCTAGAGCAACGAGAAGAGAAAAAGACGATAAGAAGAAATGACGAATGAGATCTTATCTCCGTCGGATACGCCTAAGTGTATCTCTGTCGGATACACCCAAGCGTATCCGATGCAGATACGCTTGGGCCTTGCCCGCGTAAGTTCAAATCCCATCCTCGTTGCCAATAAATGAGATGTATCCCGGGCGAAGCCCAAGCGCATCTGCGTCGGAGCACAAGCACAAGCATCGGAGCACAAGCATGACATCGAGGAGCTTCCGGCAGTTGCTTTTTTAATGGCACCTCGAATCCCATTACCCGTGCACTCGTACCGTTCCCAAGGTTCGTGCTCTTGAAAGCGGGGGCAAGCGCGTGCGCCTGGCCACGCCCTCTCTCGTCCTCCAGCCGATACATGACGACGAAGGCAAGAAAAGAAAAAAGGACAAAAAGGTAGATGACGAGAAGGAAGAGGAGGCTGCTATGAGTATCGATGTTATGTACCGAGTGAGACAAACACATCCTAGGCTTAAGCACTGTCGCGCTATAGGCTTTTACTATAAAAGGTAAGCATGAGAAACGGCTGCTCTTGCTGGAGGTGGCTCGGCGTTCCAATGTGCTTGCCTGGCGCGCAGAACCCTGGCCCAGTCTCGTGCGCTCGTGCCAGCATAGCGTCAATTGCTCTTTGAAAGAATGGTGTATGTGTAAGTTAGTCTCCCTAAATGTTTTATTCTTTCTTTGTCTATTGTGTACAGCGGCTCCCTGTATCTACCTTTCGAGTCATATGTGCGTTTTTTCTGGCAGTTTTAAATGTTCTCGAATTTACATTTATAAATCATGAATGACTTAATTTCTGTCGTGAGCTAGAATCGTGGGGTTGTCATTTTTGCTTACTGGCAGTGAAATTGTTGTACCTGAGAGTAATGCTTGTGATGCCATCGAGATATTACAGTGACAAATTTCGAAACATGCCTTCCACCGATCTGTGTGCGAATGTAGGAATTTGCTTTTGCAAGTCTGCAAGCTGAAACAAGCCCGGCGAACTATGCACTAAAATTCTAAAAACATGGGGGCAACGGGATTGGAAGCTTCGAAAACGGTTGCCGGAAGCTCCAAGCAACGTTAGGCGATTCGGGTACCCTGGAAAACGAAGATTTTAGGGGCGAAGCTCCTTAGGGGCTAGCCATGTTCGTATGTTCGTCTGCCGTCGTGAGCACGTGCTCCCATGCTCGTATAGGGAGAAAAAAAAAAACGCATCTCCACGTGGTGAATGATGTTGATTGGGGCAAAGCTCTGGTGGTGCTTGTCTGTGTAGATGCTGAGCCGCAGCATGCCTAACCTTTCGTTCGTTTTCATCCATGTCAAAAAGAGGATGTGTGCTATGGAACGTAGTTATATATGCATTTGAGCATTTGACCGCAGCGTGACATGGATGAAAAGGAACGAAAGGCTCAGCATGCTGCGGCTCACCGTCTACGCAGACAAGCACCACCAGAGCTTCGCCCCAATCAACATCGTTCACCACATGGAGATGCGGTTGTTTTCTTTCTAAAGCACGTGAATTTGGTCACTGAAGCTTTAAACTGCCACAATATATTACACTTAAAGGGGTACTCCGCCGATTTCTTCATGGTCCCCGATTTGCTTTAAATTTTGCTAAACTCGCCAAACAACATCGCCAAAATAGTATCCCAAATATTAGGTCAAAATAATTTTTTTTCACGAAGTTATTGAATTTACAATTTCGGTCCTCACCGTGTTTTTCAAACTGAAAGTCTCTACTGGCAACAATGAAAAAGTGACGTCATTGGAAGTGCAGGGGTTCACTCTTTGGACTGTAGAATTTGTTCCCAACTGATTTGAAGCAGTTTCATGGTGTCAAATGAATGCCTTGGAAGCTCGCTCCAGTCCCCGCGCTCCAGCACGGAACAAATAATTGGCATATTCTATTTTTTAGACTGCTCGCCCGACTGACAAGTTGAACTTCCACTGACGTCACGGCCCTGAAAAGGGCGGGTATATTTGAATGTCTGTTTTTGCATCATTTTCACTTGCCGATTTCGCAATAACTATTATGAATTTCACGACATTAAATAGCATTCCAGAAAGGGTAAAGGCCTGGGAGTCAGAAAATATAGTTAGTTGAGGTAGCTCAAAAATCGGCGGAGTACCCCTTTAAGGTATGGACGATGGAGGTGTACGTCGGCAGGTATGGCAGACAACACACCTGATAACACTTGGTAACAGTAAGATCATGCAATGGACGTTGCTCTGTAAATGGACAACTGAACCTTCTTCGCTGTTCACACCTCACCGGTGACTATAGCATGTTAATTCGTGCATAGCTTACGTCTCTATAGATCAGCACAGCCCTCTGACGTCACGCCACTGCGGTGGCGCTGCCGTCGGCACTGCGCAGGCGCAAAAGCTTCGTCTCACGCGAATCTGGTTTCTGCGCACGTGCAATGCCCACACCCGGTGTGGGCAAATGCGGGCTTGTTTGTAAACATTGTGTTGGTAAATAAACCAGGCCTGTATGTCCGCTCTTTTGCTAAACATAGAAAGTTGACAGTAACTCGCAAAAGTACCCTCGCGAATTAAAATTTTAAGTTTCCACATTTTCTAGACCTACTGGTAAGCTTCTCTTGCAGAGTTGAAACTCTTCCCCACCTCCTTGCACTCACCAGTAAGGAAGCCTTTTTTTTTTTTAATTTACATTTTTTTCGGGCTAAACCAGACTCAGTACCGGCTCGCAGAGATTAAGGGGTATTAGAATCGGCGGGGGATCGGTGGCCGAGTGGTCTAGCGCACACCAGCTCGGAGCACGTGGAGCGAAAGCTCGCGCTGCAGAACCCAGGGATCCTGGGTTCGAGCCCCACCCCTGCCCGTTTCGATCTGGATGAGCATCGTACCGGCGTGCGGTCGTGTATCACTACTGCGTGACGCACGTTAAAGACCCCAGGCTAGCGGTTTGTACCGCACTGGCTAAATTTCTCATCTACAGCTGGGAGACTCGTCGCCCTGTGAGGCAGACCAAGTTCTAGGCTGTATAAACACACACACAACCCAATTTTTTTTAGAATCTGCTTAGTACAAAGGTAATTAAAAAATTATCGGCACGCGTGTCTTGGTACCCATCTCGCACAACTTTTCGAAACGTAAGCCTGTCGTGGATGATTGGATTATTGCAAATACAAAGCCTCGGCTGATTTTCCAGGGATTTGCCACTTTATCCACTGTTGCTCATCTATCCGACAGAATACGTTCAACTGCACAATCGTTGTTGTCATCATGCACACGGCCGTCCTGCTCCTTCATGGCTGACACTCGTGCGTCTTTCCTTCGACTTCTGTGTCCTTTAAAACACACTTGCAGCAAAACCCTTTTCCCATACTTTGCACAAAATATCGGCACCAGACGCACCCTTAGACTACAAGAAACAAATCACTGCACGCTGCTCTTCTTTCGTGCAGATCAGAAGTGGGGCTGCCATTGTTTCTTGCACTGCAGTCAGAACTGAACTGACGTAACACGTTGAAACCCACACAGCAGTGACTGGAGAGACCTTGTACGACAAGCGCTTGTACGGCAGTGCTACAAACAGAAGTTTAAGCGTAGTGTGGATAATTTTTTTAATCACCCTCGTATTAGGTTGCTTTTACTATACACCTTTAGTCTATAGGTACATTAGTGCCATTCATGACATTTCAGCTCAATATCTTGCCAAGCATGGCATATATATTGCTTCAAGAACTGATGTCCTAAAAAAGTGCTCCTCTATGTCATGGGTTGTTGTGAGCTTTCTGTAGGAGAGTTAATGAGAATATTGTTAACTGAACTCCCAGCTCCTAAGCTTAATTTCTTGACGAAATGTTTGCTTGTTTGGGTCGAAATTTAGACAGTATTATAGAGTTCCTTGCACTGGCCGGGGTTATGTATAGAGTTAGGTGGCCATTCATTGGGACGACCAGGATGAAAATGAGGGAGCGCCATTGGGGAACGCAGGTTGGACGCATCTGCAAACACATCCTCTGGCCAACCACAAGCCGAGTAACTATTAGCGGCGGCCATCGAAAACGAAAACGTGAACCCCAGTCAATTGATATTAGTAATGTCTCCAGAGGCGCGCACTTTCAAAGTGGGATGGTGCACCAGCGTGCCTGGAGCATTTGAAAACAAACAAAAACTTTGTGAATGTTGATATCTACATTAAATTTTCAAAATTAAAATGAGGCTGTTGTGCATGAGTTTACGTTATACAGAGATGTCCCGAAAACCTGCTTTCCTCATTCATGATTGTCTTATTTTTCTCAAATTCGAAAATAGCTGGGCATCTCTGTAGGTTTAATTTTATGCCACATGCACCATTTACTTACTGTCCCATTGTAGGTATTGAACTTTCTGAGACCACAGTCCATAAATACAGCTGAATTAAGATTAACTTAGCTTAGTAATTGACCACTGGAAGCTTGGGAGCAATCTTCAGGAGTTCAGCTGGCTTTTCTTTTAAGCGTGGTGCAGTAGTGAAAGGCTTCGAGAAACTATTGAATATGTGATTTGAAAATATTCAGCCAAAACCACTATTTGTTTAGACTCAAAATCCACCATTTGCACATGTCTAATCAGATTACAGACTGAATTAATCGTTAAAAGTTTATTTGTTTGCTGCTTTTGAATTGTGTATACACTATAGGGTATTGTTATATGATACATTATTTTTCAAACAATTTTGAAATTTTTGTGTAAAAGTCTGACAACAAAGTACTAGAAGTCAAATTTCATCCAATTTTGTCGTACGTATGAAGTTCGGCCGAACCAGTCGAACCTCGGGATTCGACGAGGGTTCGCAACATTCTTAATTTTAACTGGTGAAGGAAACATGGGGCTCATTGCGTTAACTGGGGTGACTTGCCCAGCTATAAGTAAAGCAAAAAATTGAAAGCCATTTACAACTCCCTGTAACGCTGAATTAGAGCGCAGCTCTTGAGGAGAAGAAGAGAAGGGTACTGAGGGGAGAGTATACCCCTTTTCCCTTCTCCTCACCTCCTCATCCTGCCCGCTACTCCTTGCTCCAAGCGGTGGAACTTTACTTTTCTGGTCATAGCTACTTTCTTTCGCTTCTTATTTACTTGGAATAGGAGGTTGCGTAACTGAAGAACGAGCTCCATGGTAGAAAGAAAGCTGGACATTCTGATTTTCTCAGAAGACCACTGTTTTGTGCTCATGCTCAGCTCGACATAAATCTTTCTTGCTCAATGATTTCTTGATTTAAATACAAAATGAGTGGACATAGAGAGTGTCGAATGAAAGAAAAATGGTAAATAAAAAAAACGTTTCTGGGATTACAGACGTTTTGCAGCAGCTGTGCATGGGTGTAGTAATAACCGACGTTCAGTCTTTGTTTCCTCTTATTTTAATCGCTTGGCTCCATGCTCCAGGACAGGTTGTTGCCATTTTAGATTCCCCAGCATTGGCCTCTGTGGAGGCTCGTCAAAGCCCGCTTCAGTAGCTCTGTGAGACAAGAGAAGGTCAACAATGGTCGTTGTAATCTGCCACGTGTGTAAAGCATCTAGTATATCTGCAAAAAAAAGATTTGATTGAAATCATTGTAGTAAAACCGGTAAAACCGGTCCGATTTAAATCTGATTGAAATCATTCTAGTAAAACCGGTCCGATTTAAATCGCAATTTAAACCATCTTAATATTTATTCTCCACTGGGCTCACTTTGTGGCATCGCTTGCCTTTGCAGGGGTTGTGCAGCGGGTCTTGTCCCCAGCAGAAGCTGCTGCGAACAAACTTTGACTTGGACGCACTTTGCAAGAAGCTGAAGGCCGGCGACTGCCAGGTTCCCATGCAGGTTTCCAGCGATGCCGGCAGGTAAGATTAAAGGCTACTAAAACATACGGGTAAGCTAGTTGGTTAAGCATGTTAAACGCATAAATAGTGTGAAGGCTTAAAAACATTAAACATAAGAAAAAACTTTTTTTTTCTACCTGTTTAGGGCAAGCATGTCTCAAAATGAAAGTTCATAGGAAGAAAAAATTGTTTTGGCCAATATTTATGTTACAATACCAAATTTTCGGTTCATGGGCAAAACCGAAATTGTACTCCTGTAGGATGATGATGATAGTGTTTGTACCCAACTAGCATGCGCTCAGAGTTCGCTGGATCTCGGAGTGCACACTATACTTCGTTTCAGCTTCGGTCCGAGCGCGGCCGATGTTAGGAGCCGAAAGGCCAATCAAACAGCGCAAAAAGGCACAACGTCATGGCGTTTTTTTGGGGCTTGATAGGACTAACCGGCAGAGGAGCACGCACAGAGAGACGGCGAATACAGGCTGGTCCTATCAACTGCAGAAAGCACGCCATGACGTTGTGCCTCAGTCACTCTTTGATTGGCCCTTCAGCGCATAACATCGGCTGCGCTCGGACCGAAGCTGGAACGAAGTATACACAAACTCATCTCTGTTACGTCACGGCGCGGTAGTGGCGCGTCGGACGCGCTTCCGGTCCGGGGCTGTGGGCGGAAGTGCCCATGTGAAACGTGTATTCCTGCGTTGTTTTGAAAGGAACCAGACAAAAACCTGCCTTCTCGTCAAAATGCTGCGACTGGGGCTGTACCAGAAGTGTCGAGAAGGATTTGAAGGTCAGTTTTCATGCGCTCGGTTCGTCCGAGAACGCGGATATGCCCAGTGAAAAGGGAAAACCAGATGCCATCGGACCACGATCGCTTGGGCGGGAAGCATTTTGGGTTGAATTCACGGATACTTCTGGTCATCAAATTTATTTGTTTTGTTCCAAAATGAACGCCCGAAAACCGTCAAGTTGTACGGACCACCTGCGGACTACGTTCAGTGCGTCTTCAAGTTCAAACGGCCGCCTGATTGTTCGAACTGTCGTCTGCTCTTTCAAACGTTTCTGCTTGTCGTCTGCTCTTTTAGAGGACACCGGCCCGTAGACCAAACGTGGGCCCGGTACTTGCGATAAGAAGTAAGTGCAGGCCTCAAAACACTTAAGTTTGAAGGTTGCTAAGCAGGCTGGACGTAAACAGTAGATACAAGGAGGTGTTGATCATTGTTACCAGCGGTTATCACCGACTTGTTATGCCTGATTCACTTGGTTAGATTCCGCTTGCGATTTTCAGTATCGACGTCGACATCTCAGCTACGGTTCACGCTTCTGCAGTCCGAGCGACGTAGCTACTGAAAATTGCGAGCGAAATCGCATCATGTGAATCAGGCTTTAGCGTACATTCTGCGGCGTCCACGCGGAATGAATCGCCGCATGTCAGATGATTCATGCGAAGTTTTGCAGTATAACGAGCTCGGTAATTTTGCTGACGCCGCTCAACTAGTCAGACATCGTTAGGAGGACGTAGAATCAACAATTCCAACGCCAAAAAGAGCGCGGGGACTCACACCGACGCCGACAACATCGCATTCCAATGGTTTGTTTATGGGCGACGGCGAGCTTTTTGCCCACACCCCCATCGCGCACGCGCGGCGCCGGTGGCGTCCGCTAGGGGCGCTCCGGTTTGTTTGTAAACATGAGTTGGTGTATAGTTGAGTACAAATGCTATCATCATTATCATCATCATCATCCCACAGGGCACAATTTCGGTTTGGCCACGGAAGCGAAAAATTTCTATTGTAACATAAATACTGGGCAAACATTTTTTTTTCTACAAAAAATTAGTTTTGAGACATGCCTGTTCTAACCAGGTAGAAAAAATTTGTTTTTTCTAGGTTTAGTGTTTTTTTAGGGGGAGACCCTGGCCTTGAACAGTTTTCTACCATTTCCGATCTAACTTGTATTAAATTTTCACCTTTGCTCTCAGTTTTGTTCCAAGTGCAAGCATAACATGATTTTTCCCCCATCTATTATAGTTTTCAAAAAAACCTCAACTTTATCACAAACGTTTCTGACCAACTATTTTACAATGCCTCCATAAAATAATAGACAGTTTTAGTGGACCGTACGCATTAGCTTTGCGTACGCAAGGAGATTGCGAGTCGTGAGTGCGCATGCGCAGAACGCAATAGAAGGGCTAGCGTATTGCGTACGCACGCAACGCTGGGGATTTTGCGAGGCTGGCTAGTGGGCCTTGCGGGACGCTCTCGCGAGATCTCGGACCCAACGAGAGCGCCAGTTTGAAGATGGCTGTTGCCTCGACTGGCGCAGCAAGGGCGACGTGGTGTTTTCGAAGTTCTGTGTTACGTGTAATTGCGTGGTGTTCAGCTCGGCGATTCTTTCTGGGAACTACCGCGGTCGAATCAGATCGCCCTGCAGCTGAAGGAGTGCACAGTGGAAATGTTCACCACTCGCAGTGTGCGTCGACGCTGCGATCTGCACATCGCTAAGCCTATTCCCACAGTTCGTCGCCGACGGACGAACGACTCTAAAAGAAATCGCCGAAGTTCTTGCTATGCACTGGACATCAGGGTCATGAATTTCATTCCGCGATAGCATCGATAAAAGGTGCCGTTTCCACGGGACGACTGACGGAGGCTCCGTAATCGAATTTGACTACGCACTTGTACTCGTAGCCTCTCTACAATGCAGAAAAGCGCGCTTGAGGCAGCTGTGGCTTGGTTTAATCTGAACTAAAATGATTGGACACTTTTTTTTTCTTAATATTTCTTTCCAGGAGTATGGTTGCGCTATAAGCACGCGGAAATCTACGGCTCTAGCAAATTTAACTAAAATCATGCGCAGTGTTCACTCGAAAACGTAACACACAACTAAATTCGGTCTGAGCTGGTCATTTTTAGCACACGCTATACTATTGCGTATTGCGTACGTATCCAGAAACGCTATACTAAAACTGTCTAATATGGCACAAAGTATATCAGCATGTTCCACAAACAGTAAAGTAGGTAGTGCAACAAAAATCAGTCAAACTTTTCGCATAATTTTAGAAGTCATCACAACTTGACATTTATTTTTACTGATAAGTAGAAAGGAGTCATTCAAGTCTTTGCCAATTAGGAAAGTTTATATTTAACATTTCTTTTTTAAATATTAGTGTATTTGCACTTTTTGATTTATGAAGTATTAAACCCTGAAAAAAAATATTGAGATACAAATTTGAGATCAAAAGATACCGTGGGCAAACATTTTACAAAATGTGCTCGACACAGCTTCGATGTGAAACTTGGAATCGATGCAACTCTATAAATATGCACTTCTTTAGTGCTGCCAATGTATATTAGTGACTTGTGGATCATGAACCAAAATGTAAAAAAAAAAAACTTTTTTTTTATGAATAGGATCTTTCTTAAATGAACTGGTAGGCTTAATGTGCTTAACCAACTAGCCCTCCTTAATATTTTAGTACAGCTCCTTTTTTCTACAAATGTTGTCAAATGGCTTAGCATTTTTTTTTTTATTGCAAACATAAACTATGCATTGCCACCCAAATGTAGCGCCAGCGATCCAGACCAGATGCCAAAGTTTCAGAACTAACCATCATCTTGATCAAAGGCTATAAATGATTTTCTGAAACTTTCAAGGGAAAAACGGGGTCCGTCCTCAGTAGTCGACGTTATGCGGTCCCACACGTTTAGGGGCTTTTTCGGCCATCGTTTCCCCATCGGAAGTTTCAGACAGTCGCTCACAACTTTCAAATAAGACAGCGCCAAGTTCTGAAAACTCGGACGTCCGGTACGGATCACCAGCGCCGCATCCGGGCAAAGATTGGGCCTAGGCAAAGGGCAGTTTATTTTTGCGATAATAAAATGAAAGTATTCTTCGGGGGCACCGTGCATCTTGCGTCTTTATCGCGCCATTTTATTTACTCGCGTCCGAACCTTGCCTCACAAGGTTCATGTGCGAGTTCATCTACTACACGTCGCTGAACATCAGCCCCTCGACCGTCTTCGTGCACGTGCCCCCCGTGGACAAGCCGTTTAGCGTGGAACAGCTCTCCAACGCAGTCGGCAACATCATCCTCAACTTGCTGGAGCAGATGGGGCTGGGCGGCTCGGCGAACCGGATTCCAGCGCCGAGCAACAATCTAGTGAAGAGCGCCGGCGTCGCGCTTGAAACGACGAATCCCCGTCCCGAGGAGGCCACGAGCAACGCGGCAAACTAAGTCCTCAGTTGGAGCGGCGCATTTGTTTTACCACCGCTTCCCGTTTTTGTTTTCTCGAATCCGTGGCTCGTCATATTTGTTTTTTTACTTTTTTACCAGGATGTGTTTGGGAATCGTGCATCTGGCGTTTGGTACAAATAATTGTCCGGACAGACCTCCGTTGTTAAGTTTGGTCGTTGTTTGAACGCTCGTCGTCGATCTGCCATGGTCGCAGACCAAACGTTTCCATTGGCTAAAGGCCAATTTGCACGTTTGCATTGGGTGCGACCGAATACGCCGCGCTCTCTTGTGACTGGCCGCTCACCCAAGGAAAACGGAACCAAATTAAGGGACGAGACGACACGATATTGAGACGCTGCGTCGTCTCGTCCGTTGTATTTCTCCGTGTCTCGGGGTTTACGTTTCGATATATTTTCTAATGCGTTGTTCTTTCACCTTGGGCTCGACATCATTCTGACAACGTTACGTGCGACCATTCCTCGTAGATGGGGCGCAGATTTCGTCTCGCAAATGCTGCAAAACCTTATGCACGGATCGGAAGCATTCCAGAGCAAGCCAGTGTGTTTTCTCGTCATAAGCAGCGTTACAGACGAGCACGGTGCAGTTCATCTCACTCGCACACAACGAACCCAACTTAAGAGATAAAACAGCGCAAACAAACACAAGGACAAGTAGAAGGAGGGACACAGACACAGCGCTGACTCACGACTTACTTTCTTTCTCATCTTTTTAAAACATTTCAACATAAGAAAACAAGAAATGAAAAATAAAAGAAGAAGAATCCAGCATGTAGGATATCCTCTCTGTCATATGCCATCTGAGGAATTTTTTACACAAACTAAACATTATATACCATTACAACAAAAAAAACAAATTAAAAAAAGCCAAAAACCACAGCGCGAGCCCTAATGCTCTGTGCGTACCTGTCTTGCACGTGGACTCTTGGTATGTCGGAACCCTTTCCTGGCTGCATGTAGGCACGTGCCTGTGGTTATAGGATCACTCCCATGGAAGCAGAAAGAGAGTGTTAAAGAGACGTGCCTAAACTCCGAAGAAACTCGAACTCTTCACTGTATAACGTCACTGACTCTGAACTGACGCATAGATCGGGACCGTGTTGTCGAATGTAAAACGCTTCATGAATTTCCCTTGCCATTTTTTGTGAATGTTTAGCCAAAATTTCAATGTCACTTAACCGAGGGGAACAACCACACCTATCACAATGAATGGCTAGGTGACCCGAAGGTGAAGACCTCAAAGACAGATAATGCTCCCGAGCTCGAACATTAATACATCTGCCCGTCTGCCCAATATACACTTTCCCACATGAAAAGGGTATTTTATAAACGACCCCCACAGCACAAGCTACATATTTGATGCGATGGTTTATTCCACACCCTACACGCTGAAGTCCTGCTCTCTCAATGGACGCACACAAACGGGATAGCTTGGAAGGTGCTGAAAAGACTATGGGAACTCCGTATTTAACAGCCACTTTTTTGATCCTGTGGGAAAAACTGTGCAAATATGGTATTACCACCGGTCGAGAGGCAGGCTTTTGTCTAACATTGTCAAGTATGTTAAGGGGATTCCTGAATAATTTTAGAAGTGACTCCGCTACCCCCACTATGACAAGTTTCGGGAAACCCGCTTTTGTTAACCTATCTACTTGACACAGAAAGCTGTTGAAACTTCTGTGAACACAGGATTTCAATAAAGAAGCTCTCAAACATGATTTTGCAATAGCTCTTTTTACAACTTTTGAGTGCATTGATTCATAGCTAATTCATAGTTGATTCATAATCTCTTTAACACTTTCTTTCTGCTTCCATGGGAGTGATCCTATAACCACAGGCCCGTGCCTACATGCAGCCAGGAAAGGGTTCCGACATACCAAGAGTCCGCGTGCAAGACAGGTACGCACAGAGCATTAGGGCTCGCGCTGTGGTTTTTGGCTTTTTTTAATTTGTTTTTTTTTGTTGTAATGGTATATAATGTTTAGTTTGTGTAAAAAATTCCTCAGATGGCATATGACAGAGAGGATATCCTACATGCTGGATTCTTCTTCTTTTATTTTTCATTTCTTGTTTTCTTTGTGTCTGTGTCCCTCCTTCTACTTGTCCTTGTGTTTGTTTGCGCTGTTTTATTTCTATGTTTACAATGCATCACCGACTAGCCCACCTCCAAACATTACTCCAACTTAAGAGTCTTTAATCTAAACTTCACTGGCCGATCAGCAGCTTCCGTTTCTGCATGTTTTGCCGCATGAAAGTGGTGAACCGGGTACGTGCAGTGGTGATACATAGTCATTAGGGGTAGTTCCAATAGGGCCAACCCGTTTCTTGCCTTTAATTAAAAAAAAAAGACTGGTGCTTTGCGAGAGGCAAGTTTTAGTGTTGACGCATCTATTTTTACGCCACACTGAATCCCTCGGAAGGCTCTGGAGCTTAGATGGTGTTTTCGGCGTATGGTGCATTGGCGTCGATATTGCTTACTGTAAACTTCATGGGCGGTTTTTATGTATACGAGGAATTTTTGTGAGCCGTGCGCTCGGCGTTTTAAAAAAGAATATCCATTTAAAGTGAGCTTTTGATGGAATGCAAAGCAAGAATGTTGTCTGAAGCAGCTACGAACAAAAGCCTTTGCCATTAGTGGCGATTTTCACTTGCAGTTGTGTGCGGCGAAGTTTGCAGTTGCTCTTTTTTTGTGAATACTAATACTTCTTACGTGAAACTGCACTGCTATGGAGTGGAACTGTTACTGAGAAGCTTTTGAATCTAGGCCTTCTGTGTCATTTCTTTTTGTTTTGTTTACACTGTTTTCATTTAAGCTCTTAGGAGCGAAACCTAGTCTTATCTGGGTTTGCCAGTTGTGTTTGCTCACTTTCTGTTGTGTACATTGGAAAAAAAGAAAGGGAGAAATTCCAGCTTGGTCCGGTCCAGTATTGCAGACCGGACCGTACATTAGCCGACTTGTTTTCGATGCATACCGCTGGACCCCCGAAAAAACACCCCACCCCCACCCCTGCTTCCCCGAGCCGCTTTTCTCAAAATGGGGGAAAACCGAAAATGCCCAGATTAGAAAGTCATCCTCGAATAAGATAAACCCTAGCTTCATGGAAAGGAATCTTTATCTTCAGGCTAATTTTGTGCTGACCCAGAACATAGCAAAATTGTCAGAAGTCGACTGTTGACAGTGTTCCATCCAATTGTGCTCACGCTTCTAGGTCGAGATGTATACAGCCTGCCCGAGGTTGTGCCACGATATGTGCTGTCCCAACGGTTTTCTTTCTCAACTTTGGTGTACGAGTATTAAAGAGGCATTCAAGTGCTTTTTGTAGAAGCTTTTTTTGATGGCATATTGTTTGTTGGACTCTGGTCAAGAAAAACGACCAGTTCTAGATGGCGAGATGTCTTAAGAAACTCTCAGCAATAGCAATGCAATGCACGGGCACTATTTTCTCTTTGGGGGGGGATCATCCTCAGGTTCCCACCACCTTCATAAAATTTTACCAACGAAAATAGTCAATTGCTTGGAGATTGCTATTATTGCTCTTTGTAGGTGCATTGCGCAATATATTTTGACAAAAACATAGCATCTTTGGGTGTAGACACGTAATACAGCAATTATTGTTGGAAAAGGCCGTCGGACGGCACCCCGTGTTGTCTGCTCCAACTTGCAGAAAGAGGGGTGTGCCACGATATTTGATGTAGATTTTGAACGGAGAAATCTGCCACCCATGAATGTAATTTCGCGTTTTTTAGGACGCTGACAGCCCGTAGATTGAGTTATCACCATAAATAGACGATCTCAGAATCCACTCGAGTGCCCCTTTAACATTTTGTTAGGTGTAATCTTTTCTAGATTATGCCTGTGGTGTACTGCCAATCGTACGCGTGTGGTAGGAGCTTGTTTGATATCAAATCGCTGGACGTTGTGGCAGCTGTTGAATATATAACTACGTGCATGAAGGTCGGTCTTTCCTGATGCCACCGTGTTCTGGAGATGAAAATGTCACGCCGCTTAGGAGTAGGGTTTGTTTTTGAGTACAATTCAATTTCTCCCCAAACAGGAAAGGGTGGTCCCCATTTTTTGAAGCTCTTTAACGAATAAATTTGAACAGTACAACTCGGTCGTAAGGTCGGTACTCCCAATTTTAAAACATTGTCCTTTCAGTGTTCTTTTATGCCCCAAATGTCGATCGATTGAAACCGTGTTCCTGCTTCGATCGCTAACACTACTAGTATTGTTTTAAGAATGCTCTTATATGTGCACTTTGTAATCGTTTTTTTTTCTCTTTTGTAAGTTGTCATTTTTATAATGCACTAAAATAAATAAACTCTTGTAAAAAAAACGTTGGAAGTGAAATAGCAATTTGGTTGTGTAGATTTGTGCAAATAATTAAGTACAACTTTTTTTCTTGTTTACTTGGAGAAAAAAAGTGCAACTCTGAAACTCTGAACCCTAAAAATGTATGGGGAGGTTCACCATTGTGCCCCGAATTTTACCCTGCACACTTCATAATGTATAGCCTGTCCCAAACGGACCTTCCGCCGCAAAACGAGCCATAAGAATCGGTGCCTACACATTGACACATAGAAAGCTCAAACTTTCACCGATTGTGCACTGAGCAGCTCAGTCTTACCGTGCGAAATTTATGTCATTATATTTATTTACGGATACTGCGGCCCTCCATTGAGAGCCATTGCAGAAGTGGAATCTATGGCAATTATACGAGGAAAATAAATGCGAGCTTTTGAAAAGTGGTTAAGGAAAATTTGTTGCTAAGTGCAGCGGTGAAATGTTCGATGGAAGAAATTACAAGGTATAGTTCTTTTGCTGTAAAAAAATGAGAGCAAAAAACTGGCCAAAGTGCACGTTAGGTGCATTTGCAGACGACCGAGTTGCCGACGCTATTAACTTATGGTGCCATCTTCCAATAGGTGGAACAAGCAGACGACGCACTGCGTTGTCTGCTCGCTGCACCGATCGATAGATGATGTTACAAGTTAAAAGCATTAGAAAGCAACACCTTGCCCGTCTTATCCTCTCCGTGACCATAGTGTTGTGGGAAGAACTAATTTGGGCCACTAACCCAAGTGGTTAAGCTTTGGGCCTGTCAACAGCCCTTCGAAATACAGGGGTCAATCGTGAAAATGAAACAAGTTTTTTCGACCCACAAAAATAAACTAGGCATCGCAGAAAGCCGCAACTCTGTGAGAATATGATGCTAGCGGTGGTGACAAAATGCGAGTTTGAAAACATAACGCTACCTGGATCAAAAGCTGCGCGAGAAAAACAAAATTTTTTTACGAGCTGAGGTCCGCCCAATATTCACGACATTGTAAATGCCTGTCGCACTTACTTAAAAACAAATTGTCATATATTGTTTTTATTGCTGGCAAGATTTTTTTTCACTGTAATTAATGCTAAGGCACCCATGATTTTATTTTTTTGGCTCGATGAATACTAGGCGTAGGTGAACACCAGCTCAGAGAAATGTTTTTTTTTTTTCTCGAGTCCTCTGATCCAGGTAACATCATGTTCTCAAAAAAAGTTTGCATTTTGTCACCACCACTAGCGTCACATTCCCATGGAATCGGTTTTCTGAAATGTGTAGTTTCTTCTTGCGGGCCAAAAAGCCACATTCCACTTTCTCCATTGGACTTTGTAGAATGCAAAAAGGTGCAGACGTCACATTTGCGTGAAGTGTCGTGCAGTGTCCCTATATATTGCTCATAATTTCTTCAACACAATGCCTTGCATGGCAAAGAGTGCAATAAATAGCAGACAAGCGACAATCTTCAAAGTTTCTAGGCTTCAAGGATCTAAAACCTGTTGAAAAAGACAAGGCCCAAATATATGAAGTTTGGCTGAAATTCAAGTTTATCAAAAGGGCTAGCAGGATCTCTGCTGACATGCAGAACTTTGATTTCGTCGTTGTTAGCGGTTACTTTGCCTGTGCCTCCTGTGAAATTAAATAAATAAATTTGCCAAGAGTGTTATTTGAAATAAGGTGGATAACTGGGCCAGTTGGTTGACGTTATACATGATGGGGAAAACAGCTCAGAAAACACGGACTATGAAGAGGAGCACACACGTGGGGCAAACAGGAAGATGTCTGTATGATAGATTACGTGAGCACTCATATTCGCTCGAAGCTACGGTTGGGGGGGCTTTTGCCCGTTCATTGCCAGTGTCGGCCTGACTTTGGCAGAGTCGCCGTTCTGGGAGTGTACAAGGATAGGGTGACAAGAGAAATCATTGAGGCCTTCCACATTCTGTGTCATGGTCATTCCTGTGTAAGTGAACCGTCATTGGCGCTGTCAGCCAAAGAAATTTTCTTCCTGCGGCAAAACATGAGTCACGTAGTGAACGGGTAGTTTATTGACACGCTTCACGGTTGGCGAGAATGGTCCTTTGTTTTTGTGCAATCTTTGAAGGTGCTGTGTATGGTTTTTCAGTCTTTGTTTCCTTTATTAAAATTCTTCAGTTGCGAGTACAGCATTGTCCTGTCGTGTGTGTTCCTCTTCGTAGTCCGTGTTTTCTGAGCTGTTTTCCCCATCATGTATAGTGTTATTTGATCTTTCGCCGCGCTTGTCACAGCATAAGCCCCGAGAAGTTTGCGTGGCGCCCCCTTACGGCGAACAGGGGTAACGTCACGGCGGGGACAGAATTTTCCCCCCCAGACTCGTCCCGCTCGCCCTGTGGAGACTGACAGCGTTAGCTGTCGGCACGCTCGTTTCTATTGAAATACTTTTGTGCGCGTTTTTCATAGGAAGTGTAGATTTTCATATGTGGCTTTATTGAGGTATGGCCTATAGCTGGAGGCAGAACTTCAACCTACATTTCAGGCATGGTTGACAGGGCAGGCAACGCATGTATCGCAGCTGGTACAGTCCAATCTCGGTAATTCGAACTCGAGGGGGCCGAAAATTTGTTAGAATTAAACGAAGTTTGAATTAACGAAAGCTCATTAAATGGAGTACTTATGTGCAACGCTGCGTTGGGCGGCGCATGTGCACTGAGCTAGCACATGAGCGACGAGTTCCAGGACATTTATTTTCACCGATCACAAAGGGAAGTAATCCGTGATGCGTGCCTGTGCGCGGTTCCTCAGTCGTGAATCAACAAAGATTGCTTGGAGCTCGGAGACCAGCTCTAACGCGGTATCTGCATTCTCCTGAAAAGAGAAGTAGCACGCGGTGGTGTCCAGCGCTTCGAGTGCTCTTCGTGATGCTGTGTTTCTCTGCTATTTCCGTCTTGGAAAGTGCGCCTTGGTCAACTTCTTGCAGTATCTTTACCTTCGTCTTGAGGTCCTTTGGTGGACGGTACGTGCCCCGGCTCGTCACGACGCTTGGAATCGAGATAACGTCATTCGCGCGCCCACCAAAAACACGCCGAACCACAGCAATGCGCGAGTGCAAGGCAAGAAATGGAACTGTCACACTCCCGCCGAAAACACGCCGAAGAGCAGCGGGTACCGTCACCGGGCAAGAGCACCGCACCACTCATTGCAGCATTCAAGGTCACCACGTGATCGGTTATCATGGTTATTTGGAACTGGAGACGTTGGAGGCGCTGTTGCAGGAGTTAGTCCGCTCCTGAACGCATGCTCGGCGGCGCGGGATGTTCAAATTAACCGGTGCAGGCGTTTAAGCTCTTGAATTACCGGGCGTTTTCGACCATTGAAATGCATATAGTGTAGTCCGGACCACAGCATCAGTTCGAATAAACCAAAAGTTTGAATTAAGAGTGTTCGAATTAACGAGATTCGACTTATAGGAAAATGGAGAAATAAGGCCACAATTGCAGGAGCATCACTATAGATTTACATCTCACACAATCAATGCTGCTGATGGTCTGAATGAATTGGCAGGTTGTGTATGCTATTTCGTATGTTTTGTTTTTTGTACCTCTGTTTTTGAACAAAAATGTCGAAGCAGAAAAGTTGGACGCTGCCTGACCAACATGCTTAATACAGTCTGGGCCATGGAGAGAGAATCACAAGTGAGACAGCCCAAGTACAGGGGCAATTGAAAGAATCAAGGAACATTTATTTATTTACATTGCTCGCATTGGACCTTTTGCTGGATTCGGATTGTATTTCAATGGACTCCACTAATTGTATCTGTGGACTTGTCTATAACATCTCTCAAGTAATGTACAACAAATGCAGGCCAAGGTGTCTAGCCCGTTATTAGTCCCTTAGGCTCTAAAACTGTGATTTTAGCTAAATCAAATTGTCCTGAAGCTAAAATAAGCTTTTCTCACGCAAACTGTCACCCTTGACAGGTTCCACATTTTCTGCTGCTAGTGCAGCATCTACCACTGGACATCCGTTCGAATGCTTGCTGTTCCTCCCGTTATCCTCTGTTGTCAGAGAGTCCAGCTGTAGGGAGTTTGGAGGCTGAGCAAGCTTTTGGGGACGTGCAGCAGTGTCGTTTTTAATTGGAAATGACAATTCAAACTAAACGGTGTAATTTCCGAATACACAAGGCTGGAATAAAGAATGTCAGGAAAATGTATAAGATACTAGCTGTGCATATTTTGGGCAGATGAATACATCTCGTACAGGCGACTGGGGCAATTTGGCCGTTTTTCCTGCTACCATACAAACTAATTTTCAGTAATTGTGCGTCTTCTAAAAAATAAAACATGCCTGCCTACGTGTACAAACTATACCATTATTTCACCAAGACGCTACAATTATGTAAAACAACTTTGTTCCACAAGCACTTCAAAGGTCTTCAGACCCGATAACCTTTAAAACATCTGCAAACCGGCGCATGCAGAGTGGCACGTGCAGAATCAGTGCCTCGAGCCAATTTGCCGACCGTCCAAAGGCCTTCAATATAAATGCCATTTGAAACGCTGGCAAAGCGGGGTGTAATATTCTCCTAACTCATAAACATGCAAGGAACAGAATTCCAGCGTCTGAAACGCCTACGCCACCGCTTCACCGACTCCTTGCACGATTGCCTTGTGGTGTGTGGATCGACAGGGAGGTTCATCGGCAGAATTGCCTCTGCCGATAGCTTTCGGGATTTGTAACCCAATTATAAAGGTAAAAGTGACAAGCGCGCCTATAAAAGGCACGGAAGCATGTCGGTATCGGCCTATACCCAGCGTCTTGTACATTGGGTAAATGAGGTCCCGCTCCGCGAAGTGCTTGCGGTACGCAACGGCCAAGCCAGAAAACCGGGGCAGGGAAACGAGCCGGATGCGAGATCGTGAAGCCGAGTCCTTCCCTTGACGTCACGGTATACCTCACCCAATCAGGGCGCACCGACCGCAGCGACGCTTCTGTTAGCTCTCGGGGCTAATAGCCTCTGTCACCGATGCTCCGTAACATCCGCAAACATTGTCTTCATATATAGGGTGCTTGAAATGCCGAGGCTCGATCCAGAATGGGCCATAAAAATCGACGCCTGCACGTAGCAATCTAAATTTTTCGTCAAAGGTGTATTTTACAGGTTGGATTTACCTCGTAAAATTACAAGGCATAGCTCCTTTTCTGTGAAAAATATAGGTACAGAAAGCTTGCAAGGGTCATTGGCGGATGGCAACGCAGATGACAGAGTCAAGTGGCGGGGCGCTTTTGGCGCACATATTGACAGATGGCGTTGGGAGCAGTTTCGGAAGGTGTAGCCAACCAGTGAAAGAAAGCATAAGACACGCAGACGAAATCCATTGAGAGTAAAACCGCTTTCGTTATGCAACTGCATTTTTTTTTTTTTTTTTTTACTTAACCTGCAAATTATCTTAAACCAAAGGTAGATAACAAAAAGATTATGTCCCTTTATATAGACCACGGTCATCACGGGCAGTCTCAATATTTTTGAAAAGCAAGCCGGAACAAGGAGGTAGCGCCATCTATCAATACGGGAGCCAAACATGCCCCACCACTCGACTCGGTCATTTGCGCCGCCATCCGCCATTGACCCTGGCAAGTTTTATGGCCCTATTTTTTTACAGAAAGGGAGCTACACCTTGTAATTTTATGAGGTAAAACTCACTAGTGAAATACACCTTCGATGGAAGGTTTAGTGCTACGTGCAGGCAGCGATTTTTATGGCCCATTTTAGATTGAGCTTTGGCATTCCAGGCACCCTATATATCTCATGCAAAGGACTGAGTGATGTTGAAAGATTTTATGGTACCATATAAACAAAGCTCGCACAGAGTCCAACAAGTGAAACTTCTGCCTCCTATTTTTTATAACTTCTGCTTTACTGTAAAAGCACATCGGAATAGGGTTTGCATACACAAGTAATCTTTGCTTTTATTTTCTCGTAAAACATCATATAATTCAGAACTCAAGAAAAGCAAGCTGCAACAAAACTATCAATCAAATACTGCCAAAATTTCCGTCAAGAAAACTCACAAAACTGCATGACAATCGAGGCAAACTAATGGATCGCCACAGGACACCATCTTTTTTTGTTCCGAACAGGTCTGATGTGCACGAAAGAGTACTGCACACCCCAAGTATTCGAGCGTAATTGAGACCGCACACCTGTTGTCACAAAGGTGTTAGCCGGCTTGATCTCGCGCACAGATATGTGCGTGCACGCGCCAGACGTCGTGACTGAATATTGCATGACGTCATGGTCGCAGATCGTAGAACGTTAAGATCACGGTCGATGATTGTACGACATCACGGTCAAAGATCGTGGGACGTTACAACAGTCAAAGACCGTAGGACATTGCAGTCGAAATCGTAGCATGCCATGGTCAAACATTGTAGTACGTCGCTGTCAAGGATCGTAGGATGTCGCAATCGAAGATCGTAAAACGTTCCGACTGTCCAAGTTTGTAGGACGTCACAGTCCAAGATCGTAGTCCGAGGCCAGCTCTTGGACGGCGTTCAGAGCCTCCCTAAAGGCGTCTGGTTCGGTGCCCGCCAGCGTGCACCGGTGAAAGCGCTGCAAATCCAGACTCGAGCCCGCATGCACCACCTCCTGTAGTCCACGAGCCGTGCCGCTGCCACTCTGGACGCACACCAGCGAAGGAACCAGCGCCACTCCTGCGGTAAACAAATTGCAATTTTCGACGCATTCTAAAAAATTTACGGCAGTACATTTGACCATACCCGACGTAATCATCGTACTCAGATTTGGCACTACATTTGGTCATATCTGACGTAATTGTCTCGCGTCAAATTAGGATTCCCTTGAAAAAAGAACTGTTTTTACCACCACTAATAACAAGATGGCAGCCAACGAAGCCCTCGAATACATGGAGACAAATGGAGTCGGCTGCCGGGAACCCCGGGCGCCATTTTCTTACGGAAAATTTCCAGAAATAATCCGTAACTTCTGAAACGGACAACGGCAAGCTCAAAACTTTAGCATCTGGTCCAGACCGCCTGCACTAAATTTAGGTAGAGATTGAGCATTCGGTGATGCGCAGTTTAATTCTTTCAGCGAAAAAAACCTGCAAATTAGTTTTAGAGACCCGGCAGGACACGTCTTTGGGTCGGTAAATCTTGGTGCAATCATTTAGTTCACGGGGTCTCAAACTCATTCGGGTGCAGTGGTCAGATATTCTACCCCCCCCACAAGGTCGAGGGCCAATGTACAGAGGAGAGGGGAAAAAGGGAAGTTATGTTTTAGGGGAAAAAGACACATAGAAGTTGTTTTACAACGAAGCTGTTTGTGGCTAGGGTTTCGTGGATTTTTTGTGTGCAGTGACCATAAACTCTACGCTCGCACCACCATACACGCACACTTTCCCCGTATAAAAGGTTCAAAGTAAATAACCAAAATAAACCGTCGACGAATGCGCGTGCAAGATTCCATTTGTTTTAGACTTTTGCTTTTGAACTGTTACTGCTGCAGACGACCGTGCCGCACACGCACGCCTCCCTTGTATAAAAGATTCAAGGTAAATACCCAAAATAAAGCGTCGACGAACGCGCATGCAAGATGTCGTCTGGTATAGGCTTTTGCTTTAGAACAGTTACCGCTCCAGAGGCCGGCACGTGCAGAGCGGGGAACACCATCCTCTGCATTTTCCTTGATGCCTGGGTAATTTAGCATTAGGCATCAGTGATTAGTAATCGATAGGCACCATTTTCAAGATCAGTAGACCCTCAGGTAGACAATACAGGTTTCTCAGAGATTCGTCGCTGTGCGACCCATGTTGGCCATGTCTACGCTTGCACCACCCTCTCTTTGTCGTTGTTCCAAGCGCTTGCGTGCCTAGTTTCCTTTCGCTCTCCCGGGGTGACGATCCCGTCGCGCGTCTACTTTCCGCTGGGTGGCAGTCTCATCGCGTGTGTCTAGTTTCCTCCAGCTCCTCGGGGCGGATCTGTGTCGTGTGCTAAACAGCTTCGCTGGTCATCCACCTTCAGAGCATGGAACGGCTCATGATTTTTTAGAGCGTCCGTTTCCAGCTTGAGCGCTATCAATGTCATCGTAACCGCACGGTGCATTATGGGAACCATCCCTTAATGACGTCACAAGGGTCCCGCACGTTGCATTATGGGAAACGTACCACGATGCAACACGCTGGTCTCAATCGTGACTCGCGCGTTGCATCATGGGATGTTTCCCATAATGACGTCACACGTGACGTCACGAGGGTCCGCGTGTTGCATTATAGGGAACGTCCCACGATGCAACGCGTGGGTCTCACTTGTGACCCGCACGTTGCATTATGGGACGTTTCCCATAATGACGCCACACGTGACGTCACAAGGGTCCCACGCGTTGCATTCTGGGAAGCGTCCCATGATGCAACATGTGGGTCTCACTCATGACCCGCGCGTTGCACTATGGGACATTTCCTATAATGATGTCACACGTAATGTCACAAGGGTCCCATGCGTTGCATTATGGGAAATGTCCCATGATGCAACACGCGGGTCTCACTCGTAAGCCGCGCATTGCATCATGGGACGTTTTTCATAATGATGTTACACGTGATGTCATGAGGGTCCCCCACATGTTGCATTATGGGAAACGTCCCATGATGCAACACGCGGGTCTCACTCGTAAGCCGCGCGTGGCATCATAAGACGTTTCCCATAATGACGTCACATGTAATGTCATGAGAGTCTTGCGCGTTGCCTAATGGAAAACGTCCGACGCAACACGCGGGTCTCACTCGTGACCTGCGCGTTGCATTGTGGAACATTTCCCATAATGACATCACACGTGACATCACGAGGGTCCCGCGCGTTGCATTATGGGAAACGTCCCATGATGCAACACGCGGGTCTCAATTGGGACCCGCACGTTGCATTATGAAATGTTTCCCATAATGACGCCACACGTGACGTCACGAGGGTCCCACACATTGCATTATGAGAAACGTCCCATGATGCAACACGCGGGTCTCGCTTGTGACCCGCACGTTGCGTTATGGGATGTTTCTCATAATGACATAACACATGATGTCACAAGGGTCCCATGCGTTGCATTATGGGAAACGACCCATGATGCAACACACGGGTCTCACTTGTGACCCGTGCGTTGCATTATGAAACGTTTCCCATAATGACGCCACACGTGACGTCACGAGGGTCCCACACGTTGCATTATGGGAAACCATCCCAAGATACAACACACGGGTCTCACACGTAAGCCGCATGTTGCATCATGGGACGTTTCTCATAATGACATCACATGTGACGTAACGAGGGCCCTGTGCATTGCATTATGGAACTTTTCCCATAATGATGCCACACGTGACGTCACGAGAGTCCCACGCGTTGCATTACGAGAACTTCCCATGATGCAACACGCAGGTCTTGCTCGTGACCCGTGCATTGCATTATGGGATGCTTCCCATAATGACGTCACACGTGACATCACGAGGGTCCCGCGCGTTGCATTATGGGACGTTTTCCATAACGACGTCACATGTGATGTCACAAGCGTTTTGCGCATTGCATTATGGGAAATGTTCCATGACGCAACACGCGGGTCTCACCCGTGACTCGTGCATTGCATCATGGGACCTCCCATAATGACGTCACGTGACGTCATGAGGGTCATGCACGTTGCATTATGGGGAACGTCCCATAATGCAACGTGCGGGTCTAACTCATGACCTGCACGTTGCATCATGGGATGTTTCCCATAATGGTGCCACATGTGACGTCACGAGGGCCACAAGTGATGTCATGAAGGCCCCGCGCATTGCATTATGGGAAACGTCCCATGATGTAACGCACAGGTCTCACTTGTGACCCGCGCCTTGCATTATGGGACATTTCCCATCCATAGTGACGCCGCACATGACGTCACAAGGGCCCCGCACATTGCATTATAAAAACAACTCGTGATGCAATGCGCGGGTCTCACTCGTGACCCGCGCGTTGCATTATGGGATGTTTCCCATCATGACGTCACACGTGACGGCATGAGTGTCCCACACGTTGCATTATGAGATGTTTCCCATAATGACGTCACACGTGACATCACAAGGGTCCCAGATGTTGCATTATGGGACGTTCCCATAATGACGTCACACGTGACATCACAAGGGTCCTGCGCATTACATTATGGGAAACGTCCCATGATGCAACGCGCGGGTCCCACCTGTGACCCGCGCCTTGCATTATGGGACATTTCCCATAGTGACGCCACGCATGGCATCACGAGGGTCCCACGCGTTGCATTATGGGAAACGTCTCAAGATGCAATGCGCAGTTCTCACTCGTGACCCGCGCGTTGCATTATGGGATGTTTCCCATCATGACGTCACACGTGACGTCACGAGGGTCCCGTGCGTTGCATCATGGGACGTTTCCTATAATGATGCCACACAAGACGTCACGAGAGTCCCACGCGTTGCATTATGGGAAACGTCCCATAATGCAATATGCGGGTCTCACCCGTGACCCGCGCCTTGCATTATGGGACGTTTCCTATAGTGACGCCACATATGACGTCACAAGGGTTCCGCGCGTTGCATTATGAAAAACGTCTCATGATGCAATGCGCGGGTCTCACTCGTGACCTGCGCACTGCATTTTGGGGCTTTCCATAATGTCACACGTGACGTCACGAGGGCCCTGCGAGGAGGAGGGGAGGAGGACAAGAGGAGGGAGGAGGAAGAGGAGGGGAGATGCCAGCTACTGATTGTGGAGGCAAGTGGTATCACCATTTATAAATCGCAGAGAGGTACATATGAAAACGTGATGTACTTGTTATCCAAGTGGCCATCTACATGGGTACGGGTCTGCGCTGTACCCATCTATCTCTGTGGCACGTCAGACGAAGTTAGTAAATTGTGTGCCGCCAAAGTTGACAACGGCTTGCTCATGCTAGCTCTGTTTCTCTCGCCTACGGTAGTCACAGAATATTTCGTGCAATACAAATATGAACTTCATATCAGTCATGCAGGAAAGCATCCCAGTGGCCCCGAGGGATGTGCACTCGCTTTTCTGCTGTGCCATCTCAGGGGAGCACACTCGAGTCTAATGCCGAGGAAATAAAAATCTTGAGCAGTCTTCGACAGAGCTGATAGCAAGTAGGATGACGTCGACTGTATCGCGTGCTTCGTCAAAGTGCTAACTTTAACACTGTCTCGTTCTCCCGCCTTGATCCTGCTGTTCCGTTTCCTGGCACCGGCAGAACTTTGACAGAGTGGAGCTTCCAGATGCGAGAACTACATTTCCTTTCTCCGGACAAGCAGTGAGCGAGAATAAAAGAATATATATATATACCTTTCTCAGACTGTTTAGCACGGTATATCGCAAAATAGAAATACCTCAAGAGAGGAGCAGTAGGAGGAGCACGGGAGGAGGAGGAGGAGGAGGAGGAGGGGGGGAGGATACAGATGAGGACAAGGGGCATACTCTCCCCTCAGTATTCTCCCCTCCTCCTCCTCCTCAGGAGCTGTACCCTACTTTGGCGTTACAGGGAGTTGTAAACGTCAAATTTTCTTTTTTTTATCCTGCAAAGTAGCCGAGGCTCTTTTAAAATGTCAGTGGCACATTTTAAATTTTCTGGAGAAGGGATGTCATGCTCTCTGCTATCCTAAACTTGCATCTTTAGCTTGAATTTCCTAATGTGACTGCTTTAGGCCCAGCCCTTGTGTGATGACAAAATGTAACATTACACTGCACCGCTAACTTGCTTACACTCTTCAATGGAACAAAAGAGCACGCACACTCTCGTTGCCCTGTCGCTCAATTTTCTCGGGAAATAATAGTTCAACATTTCTTTAAAACAAAAGCCTTATACTACACTTCTGCTTGCTTGACAATTTTTGTAGCAGCATTATTAGGCAATATTTGCGTTATAATTGTATTTTCTAACTTCTAGAAACCCAAGCTCAAAGCTCTGTCTTTTGAAGTTCCTCCTGCTCAGCAGGGGTTTATGCAGCCGGGGTGAGTCCTGAAGAGCCCGTGCTTAGAGTGTGGGGACTGTCGCACAGGTGACTAACAGGAGGAAGAGCTCAAAAGCAAAAATTAAGGCAAAACAATACTGAATCAATAGGAAATGGAATAGAGAAAAAATGTGCAAACACGAAGGTTTGCAGTCACTTGATGATGCTTGGGGGCCACATGTTTGAGACCCTTGGGTTAGGTACTGCGACTCATGCCACAGCTTGATACATGAATGCGGTCGTCGCTACGGTCACACAATAGCTTATGCCAGTTGATGGGAGTGAGCCGCTACCTGCGAGGGAGCTCCGCCACGGTGGTGACATGTTTACTGCCGCTCAATCAGCATTTCCAACGCTTGATGAGCATCTGCTCGATTATCGTCACATGAGGCTCTGTTTTCACGTCTGCTCGTTGGGAAGCACGATATTCAAGAGTGCGCCGTCCCAACAATGGTGCAACGCACCCGATGTACAAAGTGACAACAGTGATGCCATTTCTTTTTTCTGAATGTGCAAAACTTCATTGCCTCTTGTAGGTATCTGGGCCCAGTGAGATTGCTTCCCCTCTCTACTACATTTCATCGTCACCGACAGCTTAAGGAACGCAGGGTGCTCCGAGTCCCGAGGACCCTGTTATTGCACGGCGGTCAACGAGATCGCAGCATTAGCTAACAACGACACCAAATAACAACCCACGAAGCGAGATGTGTACACTTAACAGGTCAAGCTCCGTGTTTCTTATAGCTTAGGTTCAGAGTTTTCAGTTTAAACCGATAAAAACCAATAAAAGTACGCCGAATTCATTTTCGGAAATTCGGTTTTAACCGAAAAAGGTAAGTTTTTTAGGGCCGCGTTGAGGTGGGTGGGGGGGAGAAAGAGAGAGGGCTTTGCAAGGTTCAACATTGTGTGATGTCTTCGTGACTGGGTTCAACATGCACCAAAAGAGGTCTTGGATTGGCCTTCACGGGACATCTGTGTCCTTTCTGTGATCAAACTTAGTTTGCCGAGTTCTCGGTCTTAAAAAAAAAGTTTGGATGTGGGCTAGTATAAGGTTTTTTGCTTCATGCACTTCAGAGGACATCCAGGAAAGCTGTTAATACCTTTCTTAACGCCCTCACTCAAACTTCCCTGTGGTTGAGAACATAAATACAATGGTTTTTGTTTTGGCCATTCCATTAGTTTCTGTACGGTCATCACCTCAGACGGTCACGTCGTCAGAATTGGGAAGGAAAAAGAAGCGCGCTGAAGATTATGCCCACGAATTCCGCGATTCTGAGGTGTGTCCTGACGGAAGTTGTTAGCGAAGACCACATATGCATATGTACCGTTATTCTTTGAGTGATCGCGAATATCACGGCTACAAGGATCGTCTGATCCGGTGTCCGATGGTGTTTCTTTCACGTTCACCGGAAGAAACTGGTAAACTTTTTTGGGAATAAATATACACCGAAAAGAACCGAAAATTGAATTTTAAAATAAACACCAAAAAAAGTACGCCGAATTTTGGAAAAAAAAAAAAAAAAAAAACTAAAACGCAGAATTCTACTTATAGCCCCTTCGCCTGGCAAACAGCGAGCGCTTGCCGAGTGGAATCCCATGCCCCTTGCGAGATGCGGGTGATCTCTCCGTGTGCCGCTCGTAGAACCGGAGCCGACGGAGCACTTGCTGAGCGGCTCCAACGAATCCATTGGAAAAGGACAGAGTGCATCGAGCGATCCAGAGAGGTTCACTGCACGACTGCGAAAGAGTTTGATCCTAGTCGCTTGCAAGATTTCGGTTTCAATATTTGCGTTAGCGATATCGTGGTAGCCACGAAAGCGATTGCACGAGTAGCACTTGACGATATGAACTTACGATAATATTGGAGGTATGCGGTGGCGTTACAAGCCTTGTTACCAGGTGTTCCAAGGTTGGTGAAGCGACACGACGTGGTGCCGAAGCGGTGTCGACATTCCCGCCAAACAGCCGAATTGCAATGAAGATCCGTAAAAAGTTGCTCGTATTCGGAAGTACGCCTGTTATTCCGCGGGAAGGGTACGTCGATCGGCTGCCCTATAACCTAGGGCATATAAGCCATACGCAGGGCTGACGAGGCATCGGAGGGCGGCGGTGGTGGAGAGAACAGCCGGAATGGCACCGTAGTAGCGGGGGTGGTGGCCACATGGCGAAAATGCCAGCGAGTGGACCAACTCTGTCTGCTGCATTGTGTGCCCCCGAGAGCCGTTGCTCTCCCCCTCCACCAGCTCTGCCGCCGAGACCAAATGCTCCAAGTTCAAAAATCCGCGAGTGCTCGCTAATTGTCAGGTGAAGGGGCTATTAGTCACTCACTATCGCAGGGCGGTTTCACGCAACATGCTTCCGGCTTAAAATCTCGCCTGATGCCGTGCTGATGAACTTTCGCTGTACTTGTTAACATGTACAGTACAGTACATCTTTTGCTGTACAGTGTAGACCGCATATAACGTATGTCGCGGGAGTCGCGAAAATCCGCACTATAAGCGGTACCGCGCTATAACCAAAACATCAATTTTTCAGGCCAAAATACATGCCATCAGACAACTTACCTTTGTAAAAGAATTTATTTTATGTTAGATGAAAAATAAAGCTTAGTTTGAGGAAAGTCTTTATTTCACCAGACTAGTACACTTCTCTCTTAAGTGTGTCACACATTTTGAAAGAAATGAGCGACTTTTGCCTGGCGCAGCCTTTTAACGGCGTCGCGGGTTGCGGACGGACGTTGAGAGCGTTCAGGATTGCTAACCCTAATCACTTTTCTCCGGCGATGAAAACGCGTGAAAATTCGCATCTTTTATATGGTACGTGTCAGTAATACCTGCAACTTGAGCACAGGCATGAAATGCTCCAAATAAGAAATCCGGGCGATGTTTGAAAACACAAATGCTTAGAAAGCACCACTGTAGTCGAAGTAAACAAGCACGACGACACGGGCGTTTCTGCCGTCTTGAGAGTGCCGCCACAACATCGCCGCACGAGTAGGTGGATCTTCCCTTCTAGTACGTGCTGGGTTATCATAGCGACACACAACAAAACTTCACGGTCAAGGATAGCGCTTTTACGCGGAATGATGAGCTTCCACCCACGACCAGAGTTGGTCGTGCTTCCACCACGCCGTCTACGTAGACGATCAAACCGACGCCATGTTTGCGGATAGAAGCAGCCGGCCCGCGACCGGCACGAACACTTCTCCTCGACCTGCGATTGGTCTGTCGTTGCGGTTGTTTCCAATTGTATTTCCAACGCAGCGGAGGGACGCACGCACGTGAACGACACGTGCGTGCGTCCCTCCGTTGCCATTCTTGCCATCCTTGCCCCTGCAAGTGCCGCTTGCGGCTCGCGCCGTTATCTAGTGTCGCACAGGGAAGCGTGCCCGCTGCGCCGGCAGTCGCGCGGTCGGCAGGTTGTTCCAAAAACCGCACTATAACCGGTATTTCCCTTCGCGCGCCTGCATTTTAAGCGGTATGTAATTACATGGAGTTCTATGGGAGGCGAACCGGTGGTTTAAAAAAGCCGCGTTACACCCGGTCCTGCACTATAAGCAGTTACGTTGTAAGTGGTCTATACTGTACGTCTCTTTATGCGCAGAGGCAGTCTTCCAGCTCGGTCGAGTTTTCTTGTGTCGCGATCGACTGCGTCTGTCGGCGTAGTCGGCAACACAAAGAAACGTCGTCTGGTAATTTATTGTTATACATACTGTCCTTTATTTGAACCTAACTTAAGACGAGTCGGCGATCGAGGAGTCAGCGGCCGTAGAGGCCCCAGTAAGTTGCACCAAGGCGACTCGAAAAGAAAAAAAAAAGGGAATAAACTGGGGTTTATGCAACCCTAATACGTCCCCGCTTGTACGTACCGAGTTCTATTGTCGACAATGCCACACCAGCACCCCTCAAAAAGAAATTCAGCAGTCCTGTGTTAATCCACGATAGCGTAGGAGCGATAGCTGCGGCACGTCACGGCAAAGTCGTTAGGCATTGGCGTCATGTTCACGCATTGTGAGGTGCGTGAACAAAAGCGTTCAGAACAAATAGACATCTGACCATTTTGTAGCGAAAGCTTGTGAATCATTCTTTTTCCGGAGCTTGTGAAAGCATGTTTCCCGGCACCAGCTCTTGGCATTGACAGTGCTACAACATTTTGTTATCAACAATATTTTTTTTTTTCCAAAGAGCTTGTGCAGTGGTGATTATAAAGCGGGTTGTTAATGCTGTGGTGTAGCTCTGTGGAAACACCTCCGCTTCGCACACAGCGAACCCAGATATGTCTCCCGTGGGTGGAAGGGGATCTTTTTCAAGGATTTGGCAACATTGACAATGGACGCCCAACATAACCAACTACAACACCAACGACGACAACTACAACATCCACAACGAACGTCATTTCCAGTCGTTGGGAAAGCCTATAACAGCAATAGCTATAAAACAACGCCAATAAATAAATGTCTGCTTGTGAAGATTGGCAAAAGTGGCAGACACTGTTCATCAACAGAGCAGAACGCAGCTAACTGGAAGGCAAAAGGCGTTTTGTGGAACCACCCTACTATAGTGTACGCTTCTTTCCCGCGTCGTAAGTCCGTAGCGTTCTTAAATCGAGACTAAGAAAGGGGCCTCTCACCCGTGTTCTTTTCTCGAGGATGTTTGGAGATGAGCCCTCTTGGAGTGACGGCTTCGTCGAAGATGGCCGGAAAGCCGTTGGCCGTTCTCGTGGGATTCTCGACACGCATCAGCCACCTGGGACAAGTGACGTAACAGCCACCAGCGGTTGCAAACAAAATACCAACGAAATTTCAGATATTTTTAATGAAGAATTGCATTCTATTGGAAGCTACGCTTAAGTTTTGTGTTTGGGAGTAGCAGAAGTGGAGGGTAGAGTTGCCTTTTCCACATTTGCCCCTGTCACTCCCCATGTGCTCCACTGGCTGTATCTGCCAACCACCTGCACTTGTTTTCACGCATACATGCGTGGCAACGTGCTGACGCATGTCGACACGGGCCAACACGCGTCGACGACACGCATGTTGACGGATGTATGTGTGTCAACACGTGCGATACATTCTGCACGAAGCTTTTTTGCCTCAGTCTGTGCATCCTCTGTGTTATCACAAGCAAGAAGAGGTAGGAGAGGATGACGAGGCGGTGCTTTGAAAAGACGCGGCGACGTGTTATGGGAAAGCTGAGATTTAAAGGGGTAGTCAAGGAAATTCTGAGATTGTATATCTATGGTGATAACTGAAGCTACGGGCTTTAAGCACCCTAAAAAATTTGGAAGTGAGCTTTACCTTCAAAGTGTTATAACGCATTAAATGCACTATTTAAGAAATGGTCATCTTAGTTTGTTTAGAAGACTTTATGCACTTTTGTATACATAGGTCACGTGGTGTCGATATAAAGATATAAAAAGTAAAAGTGAGGTGACGTCGGGTCACAGGACGTCAATTTCCCCGCTAAATTTAGTGGGGAAACTACATTGGTGTATAGTTCACGTAAAGTCAGGTTACGTGAAATCAATTTCTCTGCCAAATTTAGCGAGGAAACTGAATTGATGTATCGGTCATGTGACATTAAATTTTTGCGCTGAATTTGGCGGGGAAACTGAATTCGTGTATAGATCATGTGACATCAATTTCCCCGCTAAATTTAGCGGGAAATGCACGGACGGATGGACGGACACAATTTTGGTATTGGGGGTAATGTTAAAAAGCATTTCCTGCATTAAAACCTGAAATCACACTCATGAGTGGCCGATTTCCCACATAACAATCTACTCAGATCGTGCCATGCCCCTCTTTCTGCACCTTGGAGCAGACAGCAGGGCGCGCTGTCAGATGGCGGTTTCAAACAATAATTATTGTATTATGTCTTCATTACATCTTTGGCACAATGCACAACGCGCCCAAAAAGGAGCAATAATAGTCACCATTCGGAATCTCCATGAATCTTCTCTCAACATTGTATGCTTCACACATTTAGCTACACATTTCAGGAAAGGTTATATTTCTATCTGCTCCGGATGCTGTCCAGAGTCCAAAAATTGTATCTCGTGAAAACAATGTTCTAGAGTCAACTTAAACACACATTCAGCCCTCATAGACATTATTAATTGATTTATAGCCCGAATATTCATCCACGAAATTAGAAGCCTAGTGAGTTCAGAACAACAGCCATCGCCATTTTCAAAAGAATGCAGTTTTAGGACGTTTTTTGCTCCAAAGACTTGTGTCCCCCCTTAAAGCAGGTAACAGCGCAAAGGATAACTCACACACTCAGACTACACGCACACCGGAGCACGACGTGAGAGGTTCCTTTTTGACGGTGTGCGTGTGGTCCGAGTGTGTGAGTTATCTTTTGCGCTGTTACCTTTAAGTCACGTATGCCAATTCGGTAGGGTCAATTATTCTCTGTTTCAAAGCTTCACTGTAGGTTTGAACAGAATTACTTTTCTTCCTTTACACTCCTATCACTATAGTTGTCCAATGCCCCACCCTCCACCCCGCCCCCCTTGTGGATGGGGTCCCCGCCACTTCTGCCACTCCAGAAGGGGTCCCCGGAACATCAGTGGTTGAGAACCACCATGGTAGGCCATGGCAATGATGCAGAGAAACATTAGTGTTTACATTTTGTGTTCCCAAACAGCCAAAGCCGTAGTCAAAATGCGCAGGGAAGGAGCAAAAAAAATGTTGGTATCGTAGAATTACATTTCTTTAATTCTTTGGGGTTTGACCGAGTTGAAATCTAGATGAGAAAGAGGTAACTTAATATTTTTGTCCAAGTGCTTGCATGCGTATTATGGCTGGTCAATCGTCATATCTCACATCCAGATTAACGTTCCTGCGAGACATTTTCGCTGCAGTCGCACCTTCGCCATTAACCCCGTATTTTGTTTGTCCCCGCTAGTTTGCATTCAGAACTCCTTTAATCACTTGACACATTGTTTGTTGACATATTCAGTGACCACCTCCTGTCGTTCATTCCCCTCTTGTTATAGTGTGTTTTTGCATCAAATTGCGTTCTGAATATTTTGGCCTGTGCACTGCCGTTATACGCCCATGGCTGTTGGTAGCCACAAAAAATAAATAAATAAATAAACATTGCTAAAGAAAGGATGCTACGAAATACAAAATATTCTGATTTTCGGAATGACTGTCCTATCCTTTCGTATCACACCCCTGTTTGGAGGGTCATATTAATAGTAGCACCTCAACCATGGATTTCTCGCAACAGATGTGCGCCTTTTCTAAAATGAAAAGCGAGGACGAGAACCCCAGGGCGGTGTTTTAGTTGTCCCGTCCCCAGCGCAAGCTTCCCACCTTCGACAAAGCTTCGGCGTCCCGTCGGCTTCGAGCACGCACATGCAGCCGAAGCACTGTGGAAGGCAACGAGCGCATGCTCGAGGACGGGCCTGCAAAAGAGATGCCCTGCTGTTCTCATCTTGTCGGTGACTTTAGCCAAATAACCTGTTTGTACTTCCGCAAAAATACTAGGAAAAGCATGCTGGAATCAAACACACGTTATACTAGTGTCACATGAAAGCGGGCTCCAACTCACGCAAGTCCGCCCCCGCACATCTTGTCGGCAAACCTGTGGACGACCTCTCCGGGATCTTGCACGGAGCGGGGAAGCCTGCAGACCGGTACGGGCAAGACTTGGCAGCAAAAGGTGACGGAACAAGAGACGCAAATTCTTACGTACCGGCCAGAGCCCAAAAAACGTCAACGGAAAAAAAGCAACAGACGGTTTTGCCTTTTTCTCTGCTCTGACCGGCATGCGGTAGTTTAAATATAGTACATCCACATCTAACCAACTTTAAGATCACTGCAATTTCAGTGGTGATGGAGATGTCAACCCTGAAACAACTCCCTTTACTTTGGCTATGGCCAACTGGCTCGCAGAACAAACACCTCACGTCCGTAGACCATAAAACAGGCGTCGGTTTTTGTCTGCCCAAGCTGCTTTTAATTTTGTAACTATACCCCTTCTTCCTGCATTATGCCCTTTGATTATAAATGAGCTCATAGTTTGCTGCTCGACAAGACGCGAGCTCAACGGGGCTAATAGTCCACAATAGTTAATTTTCTCGTTGGATGAACAAACTTAATTTTGTTTTGAGCTGTTATGTGCTGTTTAACAGTCCACAATTAGCAATATTTTTGATAAATGCATAAATTTGTCTCGGGCATTTCACCAACGTTTCATGTGTGGCATATACCTGCTTATGATTAGTAGGCCTGTGTAGACGAAACCACACATCTGCTTTCTATGTGCAGCCATCCATATAGCAAATTATAATTTTATCTTGCATCACATTTATATGCATTTCTGATAATTCAAACTTCCCATAATTCAAGCGAAATCCGTGGTTCCCTGGAGTTTGAATCAATGAGAGTCAATTGTATTTCCTTGGTGCTATTTGAACTTCAGAAATGTGTTTTACTTTGTTCTTTCAGTTAGTTATTTTCATCAGTTACTTAGGTCGTTACTTTAGTTGCCTTCTATTTTCTCCAAGCATTTTTCGTGCCCACACTTTTTTGGGCTACAGCTGCATTTTGCTGTTTTCTCCCCTTCCCCTCTCTGCTAAAAAGGGAAGTGAAGATTCATAGACTGACTGACAGATTGATTGATTGATTTGCCCACCAACCTGCTAATCAAATCCTGGGGGCAACCGCGCACCACCGCCAAGGACATGTCCTGTCTGGCATCCCCAATGGCTCCTGGCGTCAGGGGCACCGGAATGCAGCTGTGGTTCTCCAGCAGACCAGTCTCGGGAAGGCCGAGGGGAAAGCTGCAGCTCAGGGACGCCATCTGCACGACGGAGTGGTTGTTGCTGCATTGGCGGTCTCACTGCAACACTCCTCGAGCAGTAACTGTACTCGGCGTCAACTATTCTGTGCTACATTGTTGAGACTAGAGCAGCTTCCACGGCGCTATAGCTCCGTACCACTGTGAAAGCACGTGGCTTTGTCTTGCATCTTTTTTGCACTCGCTCTTTAAGCAAAAGAAGGGTGCTGGAGTACTGTAGAAGCTATGCTAGCCTTGACAATGTAGCACCAAATAGTGGATGCCGAGTATTGGACCCCTGTTCAGCTTGCCGAACCAAAATGTTAAGGCACTCCTTTTATAAAACTCGCTGGGGATCGATATTGCAATGCTAGCCACGTTCAAACTCCGCCGTGGTTTGAATTCACAATGTTCATAAACTTTCGAGGTTTCTAGAAATTTGTGGTGGACGGTTTAAAATTTCTTTTAGATATGTATTTAAAAATGAGAAGACTTTGAATTCCTTTGAAGTAAAAGTTTGCAAAGTTCAAAGACTTTAAATCTTATGAAAGTTCCAATTCCAAAGTTTTAAATAAAGAAAATTATTGTATTCATTTTGGAAAAACTGCAAACTGATTTTGACAAACGTTCCATTCGTCTTTGAATCGTCTCCCAATCTTATGGTACGTTTACACCTGAAAAGAAATCCGCTGTTGCGGGAGCGGATCCGCTCCCGGCGGCGGCGGCGAAGAGCTGGTTGTATTTACATCTATTTCCTTCGAGCAGTGGCGGCAGCGCCGGCTGCGGCAGCAATTCCCGTAACGTCTCGTCAAATATGACGAGAAGGCGCGAGAGTTCCCGCCTCGGCTCTCTCTCTCCCGGGCGTTGCTGCTCCCGGAAGAACGCGTACTTGTGACGTAGGCAGCGTCGCGCCGCGCAAAAATGTCACTTCCGGTCAGCGAAACGCCTCGTTCGGCGGTAGAAATAGGTCGTGGACCAAAACGGCTCGCTGCCGCGTTTTCCGCCCAGCGTTTCGCCCCAGCGGCAAAAGCTGGGCGGATTCGCTAGCGGATCCGCAAGTGTATAGGTACCATTAGATGTGGTTTGAATTTTGTCGTACTTCTGAACTTTGCAGGTTCAACATTTGGTGGATATGGGGTAAAATGATTTAGAAAGTTTGCAGATAGTAAAAATTTTCGATGTAATGCGTCTGAAAATTTTTAAACTTTCCGACTCCTTACTTTACCCTGAACCTTGGTCTCCAAGAAATTTGGGGCGTGTAATGCTCAGGGAAGTACACAGCCAAAGGACCGATCTCACCAGCCAGTTAACCTATGCCACCGCTGCCACGATGCATCGAGCAAATTTCTTTCTGCATGTGTGACAACTTCGCCGGAGTTCTGCGCATGCAGAGAATGAGATGGAAGGAGCATCCTCGTGCAGAGAATGAGATGGCACAAGCAGCTTTCCTTCAGTGAACAAAAGGTGGCAGTTTGCTACTTCAGCCCCATGTTTCAGGGGATAAGAAGCAGCCCTCAGATGGCCGAAAAGCACGTTTTCCGTTTAAGGCTCGTAAAAATATTAGGCGCTGGAGAGAATCAGTCATTTACACGGAGTCCTTACCTCAAACTCCTTTTGTCCACGTTCCACCCATTGAAAAGCATGGTGAAAGAGCCCAAGTACGCACTTCATCTCACTTCACCAGTCTCCTTCCACACAAAGGTGGTCCCAGCAAAGCCACCTAGAGAAGGAAAGCCTAGGGACTCCCGCAATCATGCGTCTATACGTCACGCTGCGATCACGGTGTAGTTTCGTTCTGGCTCGGCAGACCGAGACGGCTTGATTCGGCGTGTTTCTAGAACGTTCCACGGAGTGGAACAAATAGAGGCAGCTTGTTTCGGCGTGTCCAGAGACGCTTAGTTTTGCCTCGGTTGTTTTCTTTGTTCATCTTGTTTCAAAGGTTGCACAACTTGTGAGTGTTCTGAGTGCTCGATGATCAAGTGATGTCTCCATCATGCCTGACAAATGCTGTGTGCCTTGGTGTAATGGTAATTACAAAACGGGGCCCTAAGTGCACGTGTTCAGCTTTCCTAAAGATGAAGCTTTATGGAATGCTTGGATAAGCGCCATTCCCCGAGAAAAGCTCATCGTTTCTCAGAGACCGAAGATGAGGAATTCCCATTTTCAATTGTTTATCTCTCATTTGTAGCGGCATAGCGCCATTTGGACGGGATAGCGATACAAGGGTTTTGTGAATAGGTGATAATGGCGACGTGTGGTAAGTCACTATTATTTATACGAAGGGTATATATTTTTATAGGTGCGCGAGCATCACTTCTCCAACGACGACATACTTCGGGAGGCGTCTCACGTTGATGAAGCTACTGGGAGGATGGTGACTGCACCACTGTCTAGGGTGCACCTTTGCCCAGGCACAGTTCCATCAAAGTTCCCTGGCTGTCCAGATTATTTATCAAAACACCATGCGAGAAGAGAGGATCCGGATTGCGTCAAGAGGCTTCTGCAATGGAAAGAGCGCTTGTAGAGTCAATCGATTCATTTCGCAATGAGGAAGAAGCGGACCGAATACTGAGCATAAAACACTTCTCCGGCCACTTGAAAAACGTGAAATCGGCATTCTGGCATGCCATTGAGGGCAATGGACGCCTTCAGGGCAACATGAAGTTTTTCAAGGAGACTGCCACTTTCATTGAGATTCTAGTAACGTGGTGGAAAATCGTGAATGTGAAGACACCCGGCAAAGGAAGCAGGTTGAAAGATCGGTTCCAGGAACCTGTGCACCAGACTACAGGAAATTTCAGACAGACAATTTAGAGGACTGCTTCGGAAGGTACCGGCGGCTGGCAGGTTTCCAATACCATGTGCCTGTACGACAGCTTCATGAAGGGGAAAACAAGCTGCGACCTGCAAAACACACTCGCACCGATTGGCAAAGCTTCTGGAACAGGAAGAGATGAGAAATGGGAGGAAATGCAAAAACGAGGAGATGTGCCCTGCCCTAGCTACAACACAAAGGAAGATGCCCTTTCAAAAATAAAAGACGCCTTCCCCGTTCTAGCCAATGTGGTCGGATTCGCGGTATACGTGACGGTGAAGAAGCTAAAGTGCAAGAACTGCAAAAGTGCCCCGAAAACAGACCACACAATCGCAGCTTCCACCGGGCACGAGTACTACCATCTCATCAAAGATATTGACAGAGGAGGACTTCTGTATCCAGCCATGACCGCAGTCAATGCTGTCACACACAACTATGTTGTTGTTGATGAAATTTCCAAGCCAGCTGGTCACGGACCTCACACTGAAATTGCTAGTCGACGAGAATTGCTCCGACTTCGATGTGTGTGAACAAGGACACACGAGTGAGGTCGTGCTGAAGCATGTGTTGTGGTGCTCTAGAAACATTCTACTAAAAAAACTTACCTAAACTTTTGCCACAAGCTCAACGACATAGTTGTAGAAACCAACAACAAATCTAAGAAAAGAAAACTGGCCACGTTAACAAAAAAATTATGTGAATATCCTAGTATGCACAGTAACCACCATTTTGTTCGAGATATCTAACGCGCGAGTCAATAAACACGCGTTTGTGCCGAAAAACAAGAGTAATTGCTAGCCTTGAATGCTGTCCCGTGGCGCGGTTCGGCGTCGCCTAGGCCGGCTAGCGTGATGTCACGTGCGGAGTCCCCTGGCCTTCCGTTCCAGGTGGCTTTGGTCCCAGACATTGGTTCTAGGAGGGGGGGATAATTTAGGCGGCGGAAGCGACTATAAAAATCACTGCGGACCATGTCGCGGCTGTCACCACTGTGTCACATGGTGCCACTTAGACCAAAAAGACCTCAAAGCGACGGCTAACATTATCCTTTAAAGAGAGATGACAGAGCTTGAAATAATTTGTGAGGTGTGGCTGGTGTACATCGTCGGGGTTAACTGGCCACTTCCAGTCAATAAGAGTGCTCCCGCATTCTTCAAACAAATGCAGGAAAAAAAGAAAAAAATGAGAAAAAGTTTTGGAGGGGCAATTGCCCCCCTTGCTTTCCCCCCCACCCCCCTTAGGACCGTCAGTGCTTCTGCACAATAAAGTCCATCTGCTATGGAAACCGAATCTCAATGGACGCACACACGAACACAACGTCTGAAGCAAGCTACAGCCACGGCGTCTTCCAAATGCCGCATGCCACCAACGCGGCAATGCTAGCTTTGGCTTCAAGCTGGGCTGCCAAACAGACCGCGCTGCGCACCGCCACCCCTCGCTTTGATTGGGGAAGCTTTAGAATAATGTTAGGCCCGAGCATGCACCAAGCCTCAACAAAACTGCAAAGGGTTCGCCAGGCGACCATTTTCCGCTCTTGGCATCGACCTCCACAACGGTGCGTCCGACTTTGTGGCTAACATTATGGCATTCACGCTAGTAGACTACCTTTGAAAGATGGCATCTCCCGTTGCTGGCTTTAGACGGTTAAATCGTGCGTTCCTCTACAAAGAGGACGCTTCACCACCACGGTGATGCTGACCACAACAGATGGGCTTTATCATGCGGAAGGAGATGGCGGGGGTGGCAAGATCAGGAGTGTATTTCGGCGCTTTTGCCGCACCGCGAACAGAGAGTTCAAAATAAGGACTTAATGCAGATGGCCAATTTACTCCAGCGCCTCATAGTATTTTGATGAGCCTTGCAGAAAAAGTATGTTTTTAGCTCGCAATTTGGATGAAGTTTCTTGTACTGTTGCATGAAGCTAGACTACCAATGTGGTTATGGTGATGTCACGCATGCGTCAAACGCTTGGTGAGATCGGTTCACTTACGTGGCACTTCAAAATGTTTTGGCATAATAAATAAACATTTACTTCCCCATCGTTAAACCAACGTTTAACCATGTTCGTAGGCTGGATTTCATGCAAAAGTGTTACGCTCAAGTGTGACAAAAGAATGTGTTGCGCATAGGCCAAGGCAACCAAAGCATACAGTCCATAGTAGGCAATGCATAAGCATCTGAAGGAAAGGCACACCTAGCGATAATTTATCGTACATAATCATAAGTAGGACTAAATGATTGTAACAAGCAAGAGTTACCAAAAGCCTCCGCAAGATTCGAACGTCAGACTTTCAATCTTGGCGCCACAAAGAAGAAAGAAAGGGAGAGCGAGCAGTAGGATCAAATACGACTCACGGGAGCCTGCAGCACCAGGTGACCGTCGGTGCACGTAGCTGGCTCCCAAACGACAAAGGGCAGCTGGTTCCCCACACGTTACGGGGCGGATCGTTACACACCAATGGACAGCGTAGCAGGCATACAATATCACGACCTTGCAATAGATAGCGTAGCCGGAGCGATAAGTCTTCTCCCCTCACGATTGCTTTATTTAACCCGAGGGGCTCCTAACAATTCACAGCACTGAGAACTCGAGGCGCTACATGCACCCTCGGAAGAAGCGAAACCCATGCAAACTTGCTCCTTATCCAAGCTTACTCCTTGCACACTCCACTCCCGAATAAATTTGAAGTTGCGTTGACCGTTCTGATACATCTGGGGAGCACATGAGTGCGTCTTGTGAGCATAACAAATTACAATGCATCCGAAGTGCATGCACGACATGTTCTGTGCTCCCCAAAATGATCAAGAGAACTTCAGATTTTTTGTTTAAGTGAAATGACTGGAAAGAAAACAAACTAACTTAATAAATGGGCAGCGATGCGCACAAAACAAAGCTAGCAAGGGTTGTAGCACAAATATTAAAAAGATGTCTGTCTGGTTGCCCGAGCCTTTCCAATAGTGTGTCCCCAAAAAGAGAGCATTATCACAATTGGTCTCCGCATTCATACCAGTTCCGGCATAGCGTTTACCAAAATGTAAGAAATACAATCATAAATGGTGAAGGACTTGACAAGATTTCAGTGTTTATTATCATTATTTTGTTTTTTGGCACCGATTCGCCAACAAATATATCACCACACATTTGCTGGTGTTCCTCATCACTATTTCATTGATAGTGCCACTGCTTATTTAGAAAAATAAAACAATTTCGGATTTGTTATTTTGTCCTTTTCTTGTAATTCAATGTTTCTATTTGAAACAATATCTCAGTGCTGTTTTTGTCTTCACCGATGTTCAAATGTGCTGAATTTTCTTTGCATTGTTGTGACTCTCCTATTACGGCCCTGCATGAACCAGGTAGTATCATTAAATAAATAAATATAACAAACAAAAAGCAAAATCTAATTGACCCCTGTTGCGATTTGATGAGCTAATTTAGAGGAAAATCTTAAAGGGATACTTCAACGAAATTTTAAATATTCCCGTTGTGTTCAAAGATAGGTTGAATATGATCCATAATATCCGTAAATGTCAATCGCACGTTTGTATATTGAGCCTGGGTGGCTGTATTTTTCGTTATAAACGGCCCACTCTGGCCAGCGCTCGGAGAAGGCCCAGCGGAGACCATGTGACATCCAACGCAATCGTGACGTAGGTCGTCTCAAGACGAGCAAAGCTACGGCGAGGCTGACGTCGAGAGGATGGCCTAGTCGTTCCAGCCACCGAAGCGGCGGCCTTTGTACGAATTTTGAGTGACGGGTTAATCTTCTATAATCTTGTAGGGGGACAATAGCGACTTCTGCGACACACACAAGGCATTCTCGGGAAGAGGGGAGTTCCTCCTGCCCCTCTTCTCTCGTCGTGGCCGGAGGCGAGACAACCTCCGTCACTAACTGTCAAGGTTCCTAGACGGGCATTACAAGCGAGGCGTCAGCGACATCCACCAGGTGCTCTTTGCTAATCGTTTAATTCGTTTTAAAATTCCTTTTCGTGACTTTTTTAACAAGATATTGGTATGTTCGATGTGATGCTGCTTTTTTGAACACATATAGACCAAAAAATGAGCGCCGAAATTTCGTTGAAGTATCCCTTTAAGGCTGCACAAAAGTTTGGTTTGGTTCGGGGCAAACGGAAAAGAGCATTCACCCTTCTGCCGACTCCGGTGAGCTGGCCGAGCAGCTGAGTAAGTTCCAGCGGCTGATTCTTCAGCTTCAGGCCGCAGTAAAAGCTGTCCAGGGCAGACCCCAGCACTGCACTCGTCTGGTACTGTTCTTGGTCCTGCAGGCATTTCAGCGAACACACAAGCGTTGAACACTGGCAGCAGACACCCGAAATGATTCAGCCAGTCTTCGGCTCGACTGGTCAGAACATTGCTCAATGTCGAACCATCCTACTGTAAATGTTCTATGAACATTGCGGTAAACCATATTTGCAAGGGTGAGCAAATTTTCAAATAATAGTCTACAATAATGCAGTATTTGATATTCTTTTCGATATGAGCTGCGATATTCATACTTTTCTAAGCATTGATCATGGCGGATTAGCCCCGTTGAGTGCGCTTCCTGCCGGGCAACAGTGCACTGCGGACAAGCAATACCCACGGAGCTGACACCGCAGTCCCGCGACTCATTTCGCCGCAGAGCAGCGGCGTGCATAGGAGAAAACAACACCTAAAAGTGGGACAGTGCACACACGCTACTGGTGTATTTAAAAACAAATGGAAGCTCCGCAATGTCGATATCTACATTGCAATAACACTTTCAAAATTAAACCGTGGATATTATGCGAGAGTATATGTTAGGCAGCAATGTCCTAACAACCTGCATTCATTATCTGTGCTTCCCTGAGTAAAACGGTGGTGAGCTAGGCTACTTGGTTAGCATCAAACATGGTTAAAATCAGCAAAAAAAGGGTAGTCGATTTTTGCTGATGTTAACCATGTTTAGTACTTCTCTGTCTTTTCTCAAATTCAAGATTGAAGAAAGGAACTTGCATATAGAAAAAAGATTTATAAATCCCCTTGGTTTGGAATGTATATAGGTCTAAATTTATGTCAACCCCGTTGCCACCTCAACTGGACTTTCTGAGGCCACAGCCCATAATACAGTTAGAATAAAACTAACCTCAGAAAGCTTAGAAAGTGGGCAAGTGAAAGCTTGGAACCAACCTTCACATGATCAGCTGGATTTTCAACTTTGCACGGTGCAACAATAGTGAAAGGCTCGGAGAAAGGTACAACAACTATTCAATGTTCGATTAAAAAATATTGGTCAAAACCAATATTAGCTTCGAATTCAAACTCAGCTATTTCATACCCGCCTAATATATACTATAAACTGAACCATCCCAATACCCTCAACCATATTTTGCGGTGACAACTCCCCAGAATAAAGAACGCTTGCAAAGAGGTTATTGCACAAACATGCATTAACCAATGGGCTTTCAAACTGGGTTCATAGGAACTAAGGTGTTCTTTAGAGCGCTTTTGAGGTTTCCTGGAGGTTCAAAATTACAACTGTCCCTGTCCCCGAAAAAAAACAAAAAAACTTGCAAGACGAATGCAATTATGTCGAAGGGTTTTACCCACACTGGCACCATCTATCGGGAAGCTTTGGAGCTGTATATGGGCAGAATTATTTCAAGGCCACAGTGAAAGTATGATGCATGCAGATCTGAAGTGTTTCTGGGCTACCCAATAGATGGCGCGAATTTGTCCTTCCGCGTAAACCATCGAAAGCGGTCGCCGCACGGTCGATCACACTCGAATGTAAATGTGCCGAACGGCCTTAAAGGGGCGATGCAACAATTCGTGTAGTTTCGGTTAGAATTATTTCTTGACATCCATAGCCTATAAAACACGCACTAGTTTTTTCTCTTGTCCATGAATGGCAGTCACTCAAAATACTTGTGAAGTATGAGCGGCGTTAACTTCCTCAGAGGGGTACTCTGGCATTTTCTTCATAGTCCCCGATTTGCCTGAAAATTTGCTGAACACACCAAAAAAAAACATATTTGAAATATTAACCCAAATATTGGGAAAAAATAAAATTTTTTTGCAAAGTTATTGATTTTACAATTTTGATCCTCACCGTGTTTTTCAAAGTGAAAGTCTCGACTGGCGACAATTAAAAAGTGACATCAGCGGAAGGCAGGGGTTCCTCTCTTAGGACTGTAGACTTCATTCCCAACTGATTACAAGCAGCTTTGCGATCTGAAACGAATGCTTTGGAAGCTCATTCCAGCACCTGCACAACAGCAGGAAACAAATGCTCGGCATAACCCACTTTTAGACTGCCCGTTCGACCCGCAAGCCTGCCTTTCCCCGAGGTCACGGCACTGAAAAGCACGGGTATAACTTGAATGTTGGTTTTGGCATCATTATCACTTGCCGATTTCACTAAAACTATTCTGAATTTCGCGATACTATACTTCGTCTCATCCTACGATGAACTAAAGGCCAAATCTACGGGCAGGCAGGTCCAATGACGCTCCACGCTAAACTATGACATGCTTAACATTGATTAAGGATGGACGAATAATGCTCCTTGTCACAATGCGCTGCATCATTTCTATAGCTTCGAAACCACAAAGAGCGTGTATCTCGTGGCTTTCTTTGCAACCTAAAATTGATGAATCAATCAATAAAGTTCATCGAAGCGAAATACCAGGCAATTTCTAAGTGGCCCGTGATAGGATCTGGTGGTTCGTAGCTTTTGCCTTTAGTCCATCGTAGGGTGAGACGAAGTATAAATAGCATACCAGAAAAGGTAAAGGCCAAGGATTCCGAGAATATTGTTCTTCGAGGTAGCTCAAAAAACTGTTGGGGTATTAACTCCCAACCAGAACAGGCGGCCATGTGATCTGGAGCCGATGCCATGCTGGGGTAGCCAAAGCGCAGGGCATGCCTTCAGTTCCACACATTGTGAGGGTTTGGCCCTTCCAGTCACTGCAGAGATTGGGCACGACCCACTACCCGAATGCACGTCGAGGCATTGATCGTCACAAGGTCACATTGAATGCCCACGCAGTGCTCGTGCCCACCGTACAAGCCGCGTTTAAAAATCGTCGCCCTGGGGATCGCAAAGCTCGACGACGAAATCCCGGGGATTGCATTATTGACGACGTCAACAGCGCGATCCCCACAACTTTGTCGTCGAGTTTTGCGAAGGAAAAAATGAAAGAAAACGTCTGCCTTTATCCTCGATGTTACGCGGCAACAAAGAGGCTGCTTAATCAGTTGCATAGCGTGCAAGTATACTTGGGCACTGCTAGTGCCGGTGAGCTTGTGTAAAGTGAGGAACATTCCTACCCAATGTCGTTGCACGACCACTTTAACTAAGGCTTAATGAAGGAAGGGCAGGTGGTACCAGGAGCCTGAGGTGCTGGAAGGTCCTTGCAGTGCCCTTGAAGTGGTCCGCAGAGACGCTCAGAGGACAGAAGCCGGAAGAGAGCCTGGACAGACTGCCGTAGCACATGACCGCGTTGAAGCACCTGTGGGCCCGCTCCGTGGCCACCTGCGAGGCAGAACTCGTCCGTCTCACCCCAACGTCCAAAGTCTGGTCTATGGAACGTGTCTTTGTCCGGTGTGTTGACAATCCTACCCCCTGTGCTGGGAAGTACTTTAAGAACGTTGTACCTAAAGTGCTACTTCATGTAGGTTGTACTTTACTTGGAGTACATTCACTGAATAAATGTATTTGTACTTTACTGAAAGTATTTCTTCTCGTACTTTCCGAGGAAAGTGCAACTCCCGACTTCACAGTACATTCCTTAAATTTGGTCTCAATAAAGTTTTATCATACCGTATTTGCACGAATATAACGCGAGTTTTTTTTTCAAAATCACGTGCTCCAAAACGCACCTCGCATTATATTTGGAATCGAATTCAGCCACGAGGCGCACGAGTCTGGAGAAAGCCAGAGGAGGAAGCTTATCGCTTTTGTGTTTGTACAACGCCCGCACGCCGCAGAAACTCGGCGCGTGCACACCATGCGGGAGTGCGGGCACTGGCAAATTCGAGCCAAATCAAGCCAACACAAGCCAAACCAAGACCACTAACCGTATTTACGCAATCGTGCAACACGAGGCATTTGTTTATGCAGAGGGACCAGAACATCAAGTGTGATCGTGAATCGGGTTCAGCCGTCTTTTTTTTCTGCCTGCGCATTGTTTAGTTTCTGCTCCGGAGTGGTCTGGTGTTTGTGTGTTGGTGCTTCTGCTTCCTGCCTTGTTTCGATTGTGGGCTGCCGAGGAGCTCGCACCGAAGAAAAGGGAACTACCAGACAAGCAGGTGCCGTGCTGCTGCTTATCTGCATAGCCGCCAAGTGGATTGTAAATGGAAGGACCTGAGCAGTGAGGATGAGTGCAGTCAAAACATAAACTGATGTTTCTTCTATTTCCATTGACTTTTTACATCTGCTATGCCCCCGAGTGCGAGAAATTGATGCAGCCTCGGTTCGCGTTATAATAGTAATAATATATTTTTTTTATTTTTGAGGGCATCAAAACCTGCCCTCGCGTTATATTCGTGGTCGCGTTATATTCATGCAAATACGGTAAAATGCTGCTTTGTCAACTTTGAAGAAGTACTAGGAGGGATATTCTACTCTCACCAAAAGCGCGAGTAGACGACGCATCACTCGTCTGGTCATTTTTCCGAGTGAAGGATAAAGGCACCTGTAGGACCAATGCAGTACAAATACTAAGTGCCTTATAAGTTGATTGCATTTGTCAGCAAGAGTAAAAGAATTACACTGTGGCCACTTGTGTCCTCTTCGCCTGTTTCCGTGTCCAACGTGCCTTGGCCCTACATTTTTTAAATTCAATCAGGTTAAAAGCACTGGGTTAACGGCGAAATACACCCCATGCCTGGTTCTGTTTCCTGCGAGTGACTGTGCAGTCCTCATTCCACCAGGGTTTGCATCTCCGGGGTAAAACGCTGGATGTTTGCGGAATAGAAGATGCCGCAGCATTAATTAGACGTTCCGTGACAAACACTATCGCCTCCGCGGGGGACATACTACGAAAGAGCAATGGATCCAGTAGAGCATTTAAACCAAAAAGAGCCCAGTCAGCCTTCTCTAACTTCCACTTTGGAGGGTGGGTCGAAAGCGAAGGAAGGGCTATTGAGCTTTCTAAAATTAAGGGGAAATGATCGCTGCCCAATGGATTATCTAAAACCTTCCTTGAAAAGCACGGAAGTGAAGCTCTTGATGATATGGAAAGGTCTATTGATGTAAAGGTCTTATGAGCAGCACTAAAAAACGTTGGCTCCTTTTTATTCGGAAGACAGGGCCCGGGGGATAATACAAGTCGTTCCATAACTCCACCACGGGAATCCTGGCGAAAACTACCCCACAAAGGGTGCTGGCCGTTAGAATCACCTAGAATTAAGAAAGGCTTAGGCAGCTGATCTATGAGTCCTTGTAGCTCGTGGAGCTGCAGTGGAACGTTGGGTGGCAGGTAGAGAGAGACGAGGGTCAAGAAGAACGCAAACTGCTACTGCCTCGAGTGGCGTTTGTAGAGGAACCTGAGCACACACAGCCCTGCTCTGCACTACTACTGCGACACCACCGCAAGGGTTAGGAGAAAGGCGGTCCTTCCTAAAAACCTGGCGACGGCATGAGACCTGTGTGTGTCTGTCATTCAGATAGGTTTCATGTAAACAGAGTGCCACAGAATGAAGCTCATCAAGAAAAAAATAATTGTTATCAATATTACGAAGAAGGCCGCGACAGTTCCACTGCATAATTCTAATTGTTTACTCATAGCAGCGCTAAAATTAAAATAAACTTTAACTTATAAACTGCAAAAACGGGTAAAAACGGGTTACTAAGGTTTAAAATCAATTTTTATGAGCGGGGCGTTTTTCTTTTTCGCGCCGCAATCATTCTGCTTCCCACTAGAGGTAGTGGGAGCAGCGAGGGAGGACTCCGACCCCGAGAAGATAGCCTCGTCGTCGGATCCAAGCCCACACTCTTCCATGGGCTCTTCCGGTGGTGCCGTCAGTTGGCCCTTAGGGGCCAACTGCTTCGACGTCTCACCGGGCTTCCTCGGGGCAGTAATTTGGGGTGGCTGGCCCCAGCACCGGGGGAGCACAGAGGCAGGGAGGTCATCCCCTGCTTTGGGGTGGGTGCTGGAGCGCCAGCACCCTCCCTGGGCTTGGGACGTACATGGTGCCGTTGGCACCGTTCCCGTGGGTTTGGATGGGGACTCCGACGAGACCCGCAGATCCTACGGAGATGTTTGTGTTCCCGCCGATGCCATTGCTGGTTGTGCAGGTCCCCTACGCACGACCTCGGCATATCCACCTTTTGCCAAAAGAGAAAAACGTTTTTTGGCTTCATGGTAGGGAATATTTTCCTTTGCATTTAGAGTGAGAACTTCTTTCTCTTGCTTCCACAAAGAACAGGAGCGAGAGTATGCCGGGTGAGGACCTTCACAATTGGCACATTTCGGATTGTTATCACAGGCGTCTGCAGCATGCTCTTTGCTGGAACACTTGGCGCAAGTGTCGGCTCCCCGACAGCTCCGTGACCCATGGCCAAACCATTGGCACTGGAAGCACCTCTGAGGGTTCGGCACATAGGGCTGTATACGGCACTGTAGGTAGCCTGCCTTCAGAGTTTCACATAGTGTGGTCGAATCAAAGGTGAGGATGATGTGTTTGGTTTTCCTTTCAACACTATCTCGGCGAATGGTGATGCGGCGCGCAGCTACAACCCCTTGCCCAGAAAGGCCCTCAACGATCTCTGCCTCGGATGTTTCAAGCAAGTCATCCTCAGAGATGACTCCCTGTACAGTGTTTAGTTTGCGATGAGGTGTTACGCTAACTTTGCAGTCTGCGATGGAGTTCAAAGCTAGGAGAGCTTCACTTTGTTGTTTTGTAGTAAATTTAATTTCAACAATGCCATCTTTTTGGCATTAAAATTCATTCCAATAATATATCTTCAAGAACTTTTGATACGAGAAAAGGGGATAACTTTGCAAGTGGCTTTTCATCTTTTGAGTGTAGTACAAGGAACTTTGAGAATTTTAGAAATTCAATATGTTTTGCGGGATGGTCTTTTACTTTGGTGCGGACCCTTTTCAGGGCCTGATCAGTGGTTTTTTGCCTGGAACCCATAAAGATGGGAAGAAAGTTCAATGCCTGGGTGCACCGCCCACCACGGAGCCCAATAAGGGGGTAGGTAATGTGTCATAGCAAGAAAGGCTTGGCTGACACACTAACCCCACCAGTGCTGCCCGGACACTATACCTTAGTGTGGTTGCAGGGACAGGACCTGTTTCCACTCAAGGTTGGCCCTTGCCGCCTAAGAACGTGAAAAAGGAAGGAAGAGAGTGTAGAAGAAAAGAGAAAGAGGTGGGAGAAAAAGTGAAAGAAGGAAGAAGAGGGTAGAAGAGGCGACTGACTGAATCATCCTGGTCGGGCCAAGCCAGGACACCCGTCTACGAGAAGCAGGGGTCGAAGCGGTGTATTGCCTTGCCCAAGGGGCCCCGAAGGGTCTAAACATATCTCGGGCTCAGCTCAACCGCAAGGATCCCCTTTTCCCCGGACAAGGGTTAAGCCACGCACAGCCAGACGTGGGTGGGCGAACCCACATGGCTCGGGGTTCGTAGTGACGCCACTCACCAAGCATCTACTAAAGTAGGTGCCCCCTGCGTGCAGGTATGGTGGCCCACGTGGCTGGGGTCCGTGGTGACACTACTCACCAAGCACCTAAGATGCAGGCACCCCCTGCGGGGTTTGGGGTCCGTGGAGACGCCTTTCTCCAAACACCTGCTTTCACAGGTGCCCCCTGCGGGGATTTTCCCACGAAAATGGGGATGTGTCTTGCAAAAGTAAGGTTTGTCCCGCTGTTTGGACATGCTTTGCAACCTCAAGTAAAAATTTAATTGAAAACAAAAAAATGGGCATGACACCCCTACAACTGTTCTCATCTGAACAAACCATCTATCATCGCAAGTGTACTCACAGCTCCTTCCTTGAGTGCCCGGTAGTGGGGCTGAAACAGGGGCCAGCACAGGGCAGCCTTAGAAGGGTAGTTGTCGCCCAAATGCTCCAGAAGCCCTCCGGCCAATCCCGAGAAGCCGTCGTGGGCATCCAGTACCACGCTGAAGGCCTGCAGCCATCGCAGCAAGTTGGAAGTGCAACATAGTTAAAGCAAACCACAATAATGAACCGCAGCAATACTTCCCTGCAACCCGTCAAAAATGTACAATATACAGTCAAACCCATTCATATCGAACTCGCAAAAATATGTCTACCAGTTCGATATAGCGAGTAATTCGATATAAAGGTTTTAATGAATATGACTCTGAAAACTCCCCTTTCTGCTGACATATTACAGTAAAACCTCGTTATAACAAAACGGGATATAACAAACTCATGGATATAACAAAGCAATTATAATTCCCCTTGCTTGCTAATAGTGGGAAGAAATGGACATTGGCTATAACAAACTAATGGTTATAACGAAATAATTACGACCGCTCCTTCAACTTTGTTATAACGAGGTTTTACTGTACACCATGAAATGGTCTTGCATTTTCTGCTGCTTTTTCTTCACTGCGTCCGCGATAACAATATTTTTCTACGCTATCGACGGACTCCAAAATGCTGAGGCCGCCGCCTTCTATATTCGCGCATTAGCGTCGAACTATGCCGAGAGCACTGAGCATGTCTGAGCACGAGCACCTTCTCCTGCAGAGCGCAGTTTTGCTCTGCAAGTTGGGTTTGCCCTAAGGGAGACGGCTGTATTGGGGGAAAGCCAGCTAGCAGAGCAAGCTGGCTCTTTTTTCTTCCGGGCAGCTGCATTAACCGCTCGGAAGAAAAAAATAATATTCGGAAGGTTTAGAATAACGTATGCTATTTTAGCACATGCTAGCGTTCAATTTAGCACTTGAGTTAGCGCACGCGACGCAAGAAAGTTTAAGAATGGCGTTTCTCCGCCGCAACACAAAAGCCCAAGCATATCGCGCTTGCAATGCCACCGAGATAAAGTCACAATTTTTATTTCAGATACAAAATGCTGTAACTTGAGAAAAAACAAGCTTTTGGTCTAGAGTAACATTTTAGATTTGTTTAAACATGAGAATGCGACGCGAGCGGTCGTTTGGTCGTGTCCGCTTGCGTCGCCTCGGCAAGAGGTGTCTCGTGTAGTGACTTCGCAAATTGTACCTTCGCCAAAAAATGTTTGCGCATCGCGAGCATCAAGTTGCCGGTGATCGTTGCCTACCTTACAGGGTTTTCCAAATTGTGTGCAGTCGCAGTTGCGAGGATGAATGCCGCCGACGTCGCGACGCTGCCTAAGCGGCCACAGACATGGCCCAGGGAGCCTCCATTTTTTAACTACAGTATAGACCACTTACAACGTAACCGCTTATAGTGCAGGACCGGGTATAATGCGGTTTTTTTAAACCACCAGTTCGCCTCCCATAGAACTCCATGTAATTACATACCGCTTAAAATGCAGGTGCGCGAAGGGAAATACCGGTTATAGTGCGGTTTTTGGCACAGCCCGCGATCGCGCCGACGACCGGAGCAGCGGGCACGCTTCCCTGTACTACACTAGATAACGGCGCTGACGGCGCGAGCCGCAAACTGCACTCGCGAGGCAAAGAGGTTGCTCGAAGGAGCGGGAATAAGCGAAGAGAGAGGCTTCAGTTGCCATAGCGACGGAGGGACGCACGCACGTTCCGTTCACATGCTTGCGTCCCTCCGCTGCGTTGGAAACAAACCGCAACGACAGACCAATCGCAGGTCGAGGAGAAGTGTTCGCGCGCGTTGCAAGCCGGTCGCGGGCCGGCTGCTTCTATCCGCAAACATGGCGTCGGTTGTGATCGTCGTCGTAGACGGCGTTCATCTCATCGTTCCGCGTAAAAGCGCTATCCTTGACTGTGAACTTTCGTTGTGTGTCGCTATGATAACCCAGCACATACTAGAAGGGAAGATCCACCAACTCGTGCGGCGATGTCGTGGCGGCCGTCTCAAGACGGCAGAAACGCCCGTGTCGTCGTGTTTGTTTACTTCGACTACAGTGGTGATTTCTAAGCATTTGTGTCCTCGAACATCGCCCGGATTTCTTATTTGGCGCATTCCATGCATGTGCTAAATTCAAGGTATTACTGGCGCGTACCGTATGAAGGATGCAAATTTTCACGCGTTTTCATCGCCGGAGAAAAGTGATTAGGGTTAGCAATCCTGAACGCTCTCAACGTCCGTCCGCAACCCGCGACGCCGTTAAAAGGCTGTGCCAGGCAAAAGCCGCTCGTTTCTTTCAAAATGTGTGACACACTTGAGAGAGAAGTGTACTAGTCTGGTGAAATAAAGACTTTCCTCAAACTAAGCTTTATTTTTCATCTAACATAAAATAAATTCTTTTACAAAGGTAAGTTGTCTCATGGCATGTACCGTATTTGCACGAATATAACGCGAGTTTTTTTTTCGAAACTACTTGCTCCAAAATGCACCTCGCGTTATATTCGGAGTCGAGTTCAGCCACGAGGCGCGCGAGTCTGGAGAAAGCCAGAGGAGAAAGCCAGAAGAGAAAGCCATCCCTCCGGCTCAATAGAGGAGACCCGGTGGGAAAAGAAGTGAGGATGTGGAAGGGAATTTATTAGCTATTGGGTCACGTAAAGGGGCGAATAAAAATATTAAAAAGCGTTTTTATCGCTTTTGTGTTTGTACAACGCACGCACGCCGCAGAAACTCAGCGCACGCGTGCGCCATGCGGGCACTGGCCAATTCGAGCCAAGCCAAGCCGGGCCAAGTCAGTCAACACAAGCCAAGCTAAGACTGGCCAAGACCACCAACCGCGTTTACGCAATCGTGCATCACGAGGCATTTGTTTATGCAGAGGGACCAGAACAAGAAGTGTGATCGGATTCAGCAGTCTTTTTTCTGCCTGCGCATTGTTTCGTTTCTGCTCCAGAGTGATCTGGTGTTTGTGTGTTGGTGCTTCTGCTTTCGTGCATTGTTTGGATTGTGGGCTGCCAAGGAGGCTCGCAGGGAAGAAAAAGGAACTACCAGACAAGCAGGTGCCGTGCTGCTGCTTATCTGCGTAGTCGCCAAGTGGATTGTAAACGGAAGCAGTGAGGATGAGCGCAGTCGAAACATAAACTGATATTTCTTCTATTTCCATTGACTTTTCACATCTGCTACGCCCCCGAGTGCGAGAAATCGACGCGGCCTCGGTTCGCGTTATAATAGCAATAACATTTTTTTTTCTTTTTGAGGGCATCAAAACCCGCCCTCGCGTTATATTTGTGGTCGCGTTATATTCGTGCAAATACGGCATTTTGGCCTGAAAAATTGATGTTTTGGTTATAGCGCGGTACCGCTTATAGTGCAGATTTTCGCGACTCCCACGACATACATTATATGCGGTCTACACTGTATGCTCATCTTGGCTTTAGACAACTTCTCATCGCGAATCCTCCTTGGAGGAGTGCAAAGTCTTTTCGCGTACGCACGCAATTTCCAAAAAATAGTGTACGCTAAAATAGCGCACGCAAAGCGGAAAATGTCGTTAGCGGTCGGCGCATGTGCAGTGGTGAAGAAGCTATTCTTTGCGTACACAAAGCTTTGGCGTGCGCTATTCTAAAACACCCTATTCTCTCTTGCAGATGGGGTGGGGAGAGGGAGCACGGAGCACCCTCTCCCTATTCCCGCCGCAAAAGAGATTTTTTTTTTTCAAAACAATCAACAAGATTGCATGAAAAAAAAAAAAAAAAATTTATAATAAAAAGGTCAGCGTGCTCTGCAAGCTGGCTTTTCCCCAAATGGAAAAATCGCATTGGGAAAAAGCCAGCTTGCAGAGCAAACAGGCGTTCTTGGCTGTTTGATATACAGTCGAATCTTGTTAATTCAAACTCCAGGGGGACCGAAACTTTTGTTTGAATAAGCAGAGTTTGAATTACCAGGAGTTATCTCCCACAGAGACGCATAGGATGGGACCTGCGCGTTAGTTTGAACTAGTTATGGGATGAATCTTTATTCGAATCGAGATTTGGAGCCGAATCTGAAAATTCGGAAGAGTAGCCGAATCTCAAGCAATTCGGAAAAGTTCGGAAAGATTCGGATGGTTGTTAGATCACGTTGATGAGTGTTTCAACTTTTCGTAATATTAAATTCACTAAATTCTACAAAGTGCCCAAAAAAATGCAATGTAATATCATAGTAATAAATAAAATGTTCCGCTTTGTTTATATTATTTTGGATGTTTGTCGAGAACGGTAACTAGACATCGAGGGAAAATTGGTTTCGGTTTCGGATAACGACCAAAATAGGCATGCTTGGTGCACATGGAAATACAAGCACGTACATGTTTTCATCGCCGCAAGAGATTGATGAAGTATGCGCTGTTCAGTAAAGACACATTTCATAGTGGCAGACACCACAGAAGTGAGTATGTTCAATTTGATTATCTCCAACGTGTGTCCACTAAGGTGTTCTTATCGGAACGCAGGAAACAATCTGAAACTCATTATGCCGTACTATTACAGTCTCCTGTACTGCATTTGCACCTTTCTAGTTAATGATATTCGATTTAGTTACGGTGTTTGTTTCCGAACAATAAAGTTGCATTGGACACCCCTGTGTTGTTTCTTTTTCATCAAATAAAGTTCAGGCTTACAAAATATCAAAGTGCGAATTAAGAATGTTTCTCTTCGCCACCGGTGCCGATACGCGGTCGAAGTTGGGAAGAGAAACATGCATCTCGCTCTCGCGCCTTACAGGTGCAGACATACGCAGCTCTAGAGAAGGAGACAAATCATTTCCTTGCCTGAATATATTTATTGTGCGTTGCGCCACATTAGGTATAATACATAGCATTTCGCTACATTTTACCGATCACCGCGAAACCATACAGAAACCTAGACCGTACATTGGTTAGGCCTAGACGTCAACCACACCGATCAGCTCAGCTGGACCTGGGCGTGTGCCAGGGTTTCGAATGACAGTTCAGTACATACCATACATTCAAAAACACAAAACGAAATCTGGCTATATGCCGTAATAATACCTAAAAAACACAACTGACCACATTCACGAGGTTTATGACAAGGTTCACCCTGCTGTCTGCAACCAGCGACGAATCGGACAAATCTCTGAACCTGCTGAATATTCGTCGCGGAAAGTTCGAGAATTTCCGAATCTGTCCGAATCCGAATCTCAGGTGATTCGTCCCATCACTAGTTTGAACTACCCCCAAGTTTGAATTACCGGGAGTTTTCTCCCATAGAGACACATAGGATGGGACCTGCGTGCTAGTTTGAATTACCCCCAAGTTTGAATTAAGTGAATTTGAATCAACGGGATTAGACTGTATCGGTAGCAGCTGCTATTTTTGTTCGATGTAACCGTTGTCTTTGCTATATAGCATCACTGTAAGATTACTGTGCACAAAAATTGTTTGATATAAGGGATGATTTGATGTAAACGGGTTCGATATAGTGGGGTTTGACTCTATAAGGTTGCAACATTCCACCCCCCACCCCAACTTTCTGCGATGCCACACACTTTTCGATTTCACTGAAGAAGAGCAATACACAAAATTGAAGCTGAGTACAGAGCAAATCAGCAAAGCTAGGAACCATCGAAACCATCAGAAATAGAAGAAAAAAAAAAAAAGTGAGTCGGCAAGAATGATAGCTTTTAATGGCTACCTAAAATCGGCTTGTTTGTCATGGCGCAGTTCCTCAAAACAAAAGCAGGGATTGGACACCACAACTCTCAGTTCCTGCTTTCTGTTGAGCCGCCTGTTGAGCTCGCAGGCAAAAACAAACTTTTTGCTTACCTTTCCGTCCTAATAACAAGCTACCTATATGTTCTGGAACACTGGCACCTCAACCCTACCATTAATGCTACATTCTGGCAGAACCTGAGCCTCTGGCAATGCGTAGCTTAATATTGTGGCGGAAAATAACATTGGCAGGGCATGGGCTCCTAGCCCATGCCCTGCCGACATATGAAGGCCTTTTTCTTTTCCCCGTTGACTGGGGTTCTCGGCCCTGCGCTGAGGCAACCCACCTGCAGGGAATCACTGTCCTCCGCAAACCAGCGCAGCCTGTCAAGAAAGCCCTCCTGCCAGGCAGAGTCCTCGTAACACTGGACACCCTGTCCGTAGAGGTCAAACGGGTCGTCTCGACTGCGTGGAAAGCCCGTCATTATTACAGATCGAGTGCTGTATGTGTGGGAGAGTTACGGAAATCCCGTTGTTCTATGAACTTCAGAACTAGATATTCTGTAAAGAAAATTCTACGGCAATAGCCATTGATGGCGAGGTTTCGCAGTGGTGTGCGTGCAGAAACTTATCGACAGCGCTAAATTTAGAGGAAACGCTTCCTGCTAAATTTAGCAGGGAATTTCAGTGTCGTGTGACACTTATTCTCCCACAAGATTTAGCATTTTCCTGTTATATGCATATAATATATATATACCATAAAATCCCGTAAGAATGCCCACCTAATATGAAGAGATAAATGGTGAAAAACATAAGGTGAGCCATCTTTGGGGGTGCGGCGAGGAAACTTTATCAAAAACTAGTGATAAACACCAACGCCCCCACTACAAACCACGTGACACGGGACCTGCTACCGCAGATCGCGGACACGGTAAATTCGCTTCTCATGATGCGATCAACCTGCGGGAAAATCGCACAAACTCCTGTTTCACCGGAAAGGATACCGCAGGTTGCGGATGCAGCGGATTCAAGTTTCACGGTGAAATGAACTTGAAGAGACCCGCTACAAATTTGCCTGTTCAGGAACTGATATCACATGCGCAGATCACAAACAAAAAGGCGGGAATCTGCTACAAACTTGCATGTAACGAAAACAGTTACGGCAGATCGCGGATGCAGCAGATTCGCATTTCACGGTGCAATATACACGCAAGAACAACTCACTTGTTACTGAAACCAATACCGCATGCGCAGATTGTTGACAAAAACACGGGAGCCTGCTACAAACTCGCTTGTCGCACAAACTAGGACGCAGATTGTGCGGTTGATGCAATTCCCGCCGGACATCATGTGACATCTGACGGGAATCGGGGGGTGGACGATGTTTCGGAATTTTCATGTTACGGATATTTAGCGAGAAACACGGGATGGGCAATCTATAGAGGGGAGGGCATCCTTAAGGGATCTTACAGTAGAGCGGAAAAGTTTGACCACTAACAGTGGTGTGATTGGCCTAAGTCATTTTGGAGCACATTTCGGAGCAGCCAAAACAGTGCTTTGGAGCAGCAAATGTGGCCTTTGGAGCAACCAAAACAGTGTTTTGGAGCAGTAAAAGTGGCTTTTGGAGCAGCCAAGACAGTGTTTCGGAGCAGAGAAAGTGGCTTTTGGAGCAGATATTCTTAGTAAAACAAAAATATTCGTTTTAAGTGCTGCACAAATGAAGGGCACTTTGTGTTGTGACTTGTGTAGTGTTCTAATGTGACGTTTTGTGACGGAACTCGCTGCTTGTGTTTCTACTGCTGAGACATCCCACAAGTATACAGTGCTGTAGTTGTTGCCAAGCAGTTCCGAAAAACCGCTTACCACCGTTTTCCTGGTTCCCGACGAACCAGATTTTCGTCAAAAGTAAGCAAACGTAAAACTATGGATTGCAAGCGTCCCGGCTGGTGCCCCTGTCGTGCAATCAAGTTCGCAAACACGTGAGGACGACTTCAGCAGGCTAGCAGTTGCGCGTCCTTTGTCGCGCGAGCGTAGACAACGGCTGTACGATCGCAACTGAAACCATGCCACTCTGCTGCGTCGCCAACTGATTCCCGAAATTGTACGCAAAATGTAACTGTCAAGCATAAGACGAAAAACAGTCCAGCGGAGAGTTCTCGTCAGGGAGGCAAACAAGGTACAAGCTACATGCATAAAAAAAGCAAAATAAATCTGAGCGCTCCGATGCAAGACATTGCAAGCGAGGGTCAAAAAGTTCTTGAGTGTTTTGTGCAACAACTGAACTCGAAACAAACAAGCGCGCAGTGCAGGCTCAGCGCAGATAATGCCATTCTTTGCTTCAGCTCGCATCTCTTCAACTTTCTTATTGCGGCAGATTTTTTACGTAGCGGAATCCCTCTCGAAAGAAAGCCCACCGAGAGGAACCTAGGTAATCAAAACTTCGACACAGCAGTCTTTGAGTTGAAGAGGGATTTTCGTTGTAACGTATGATTTAAATAAGAACAGGAATGTTGATGAAGATGTGGTGGTACTTGGTTTCATTTTAGAAAGCGACATGTCAGCAGCGACGTGGAGACGGCAACACCCTACGTCACGCGACTATGATGACTGGAAGGCAGGGACCAAATATAGTTTTCCTACGGCTGTTGCTTTCAGGAACGAGTGCTTCAGTTCACAAAGTAACCCTACCATGCAAAAGAGCAGTTTCATTTCACAGCATGACGGCATGGCTGGTACACCGTACGCTATAGCGTCGGAGCTTCCGCACACACCCGCCGTCTATCGTTAAAAATATATAAAAAAAGACGCGAGATGAGACGACGAGAGCGCGAAACGTCAGATGGCGGCAAAACATGCAGAATCGGATGGACAATTGATGCAGGGTACTTCGTGTTGGCCGGCCTAGAGTTACTGGGGTTGTGTTCCAAATCTTACCCAAATGAATCCGAGTTACTCCAGCGGGTTGTGTCACGTGACAACACAGATTGAAAAACGCTGGGTGCGGGTAGGTTTAGGAACGCCAAGGTAGAAAACCTTTACCCTGGAGAATGATTGAGTAAATTTTGGAACACGGCCTAGGTCGGCCGTTTGTGCCACGTAACACATGCTTGCTCAATTACGGTGCTCAGTTTACTTTGGGGTTTGAAAGGCGATCGGAATTGTTTTTTTTGGCGCAGGCTTGGCGCAGATTACCCATATTTTGGCCAAATGTAGCAGGATGTAGCAGGGTTAGCCCCTTGGCGCATTTTGGCGCAATTGGCGCAGCAATCACATCACTGCACTAAATTCAGTGAGGAAATTGTGACATTACACATAAATAAGAGGTTGCATAACGAACGATGCTACATTCACATCAACCACCACCCCAGCCTCAGCCCCAGCCCCAGCCCCAGCCCCAGCCTCAGCCCCCCCCCCCCCCCCCCCCCCCCTCCCCGATTTTCTTCGGACATCAGGCACCTGTCCGACGAGAATCACACCAACCATGCGATCTGCGGTGCCCGTATGTCTGGCAAGCGAGTTCGCAGCAAGCTCCCGCGCTTTTGTCCGCAATCCGCACGCAATATATTGGTTCCTGTGGCAAGCAAGTTTGTAGTCGGTGTCTGCATGTTTGTCGCACCGTGAAACATGAACCTGTTGCATCCGCAGTCTGCAGTATCCTTTTCCGTAACACAGGAGCTTGTAGCGAATTCCTGCATATTTATTGCATCGTGAAACGCACGTTTGCCGTGTTCACGATCTGCGGTATCGGTTCTCAAGTAACATGGTTTGTAGCGGGTGCCCCTGTGTTCATCATTAATTTCTGCCAAAGTTTTGCCATCTGATCTCCAAAAATAGCCCACCTCATATTTTTCAACAGTTGTCTCTTCAATATGGGTGGGCGTCCTTACGGGATTTTAGGGTAGTCTAGCACGTCTCCGGGTACGCCCCACGAGCGGTGACATTTGTCCCGAGAGTACACGGGGGTTTCTTCTTGGCACGGCGGTTGCCTCGTGGGAGAGGAACTAGAGGGCCGTCCTTAGCCACCACAATGCTAACGGTGGCCTTTTGATGGCTGGTGAAGGAAAATTTCGGAGACAGGCACCGATGCGAAGCATTGGCATTCCAGACGTTAATTTACTTCATTGTTGCTCAATTTCAGCGTGACGAGACTTTAAACTTTGATGAGCTATACATTTGAGGGTGCCATGTAAATCCTTGGAATGCTCAGCTTCAGCATGCCCCAGACAGCTTGTGACAAATAAAATGCGTTGAACTTCGTCAAGCATTTTATTCAACTAAGTGCCTCGTACACGTATAGTTTCTTGATGGCATCAAAATTGAAACATACAGAAAAAAAAGCTCGACGTACGATTAGGCATTTGTTACGAGTTCTGAATACGAAAGCATGCAAGCCGCTCATCCGCTCCCTTTGTTGTTTGCTGCGTACTAGCGCGCACGCGCGCTTCGGCATCTCGAAAGTTATGGTGCAGTGGCCAATGGGAGCCCCGGTCGACGCGCGCCAGCCAATGGAATTGAAGGTGAATCACCCGACTGCGGCGGAAGCTAGGAGCCGTTTTCGCGCTTCAAACTGATGACGTCAGCTCGCTCCATGAGACAGTTAATGCTTTCGCATAACCGTACAGCAAAGAACACCGCAAACTTTCGTACACCCATTGTTGACGAAGAGGTACTTGATTTTAACCGCCATTAGCATACAAAAATTAAGACTGATATTTGAGCCACTAGATCGCGCTGAATTTATGAAAGGGTCTACTGTGACGTCACCCGACTGCAACGTCATGTGCAGCGTTTCCCCACTAAACTTAGTGGAGGAATTCTGACATCATATGACGACATTATCTCTGTGCCGTTACCGAATTTCGGATGGTTCTGGAGAACGATGCTGTAATGTCTCTGGGGGGGCAGTGCGCAGTACCTCGGCTTCCACCTCCATTCAATTGCTAGACGTGACGAGTGACTGGCATTTTTTTCTAATGACGAGGAAGGCAGTGAAGTTCTCTTATTCAAACAAGGTAGCATACGACGGAGGCTTTGAATTTTGTCATATGCCGCAGAGAATTCCAGGGCCTATGTCGCACCCACGGCATTTTGAGCCGACCTCACTCACACTCAAGATCACCCCAGTTTTTCTCATTGAAATTCACTCACACTGACAATCACAGTCATCATGCTCAGATCATCATGGTCATCAGACTCACAGCTCATCATGGTCATCACACTCACAGCCCACTGCAATCGTCATGCTCACACCTCGTCGTCAGTCATCACATTTACAGTCTCATAAAATACCACCACACCCACGCTCATGAGTTTTTGGAATTCACGCTCTCACTCACTCATGACATCTCAAAACATATGCCCACACTCACACTCACGAGTTCCCAGAAATCACACTCACACTCTTGAGTTTTCAGAAGTCACGCACAGACTCCTGCTCATAAGTTCTCAAACCTCAAGCTCACACTCGCAATTTCCCATTTCCTGAGACTCGTAACGTCACTCATGCTCATCTGATATCTGCGATGAGTGTGAGTGAGCGTGAGTGGTCGCACTTATAAGTGAGGAATACCAAGGTACGGCCCACGGTGACGTTACGGAATTTCCACTGCTCTCACGGGATCCAGGCGACAACGTAGACCATTCCTCCCCTACATTTTCCTTAATGTGCATTATTCCTCATAATCCAAAGTGCTTGCAATGTCAGAGGGCATTCTTTTGCAGCTTCACCCATCTATGAAGCCCACGTGCTAAGCAAGGATTACTCCCTCGATGTGACTAACATTATCATCATCATCACTTACTCCTCTCATACACTTGTACACCAGGGAAAGTCAGGAACCCAGGTCACCTTAATATCATAAATTAAGGTACCGTGTTTATTCAAATATAAGTCAAGCTTTTTTTTTTTTTTCGGAAATCGTGATCAAAGAATTTTGACCTACATTCGCGACCAAATTTTGCGACCCTACCGGAGGCATGAAGCTATCGAGTCACCGAGCCGGCGTTGTCGTAGAGCTGTGCCACTTCTTATTTCAAAAAGCTTTTGGTAACCGAAATGGCCCGCCGCCCGCGGTGGCCGGTGCCGCTATCGCGCGCACCCCTCGGGCGTCGGATTTCGACATAGCGCCTCTAGCGTTCCCCTTGCTGGGCAACGGGGAAGGAGAGGAACGCGATGCGCCATGCACTTTGCCTTCCATCCTCGCAAACGCGCACAAAAAGAAAAAAAAAAAAAAAGTTACTTTTGTTAGTTGCTTGAGGCGGCTCGGCTCGCGTGTTGCTCATGGCGACCCGGCGGCTTTGCTTGCGTCTTTGTAGTTTGTCTTTCGTCGCTTCGCACCTTCTTTCGTTTCTTGTCATTTTACAACGGTGTCAGTGAAGTATTTCTGCGAATTTGCGAGGATGTCTACCAAGCTGACGAAGCTTCGAACGACGATGACATGTCCAGAAGTTCTGACGGTGATTAAGTTTTTGGCATCGCCCCGTGATTTAGCTGAGGGTGATGTAAAAAAAGGTTTGTTTCTTTCTTTTGCCCAAAATTTCCCCTGTTCTTAAAAATAAAAAAAAAGGTTGACCTCTATTTGAATTTTTTTTTTTATTCCCAATGGGTCTAATAAATAGGGTTCGACCTATTTTCGAGTAAATACGGTACACAGACCAACACTGTTGGCACAAACAAGCAATTGGCAGTTTTTTTCTTCGAATCAAAAGGCCATCATAAAATTTACTAGTGTGGTGGGAAGTGCCTACTTAGGACACTAACGTATATAGGTGGTAAACTTAGGCATCCACCAGTACCACTTTAAAGTAAAATGCAAGGAAGTTTCAATATTCTGTTCGCACTAATAAAGCCGTGCAGTGTACCTTGAGTAAGGCTGCACCAACGAACACAGACAGTAACAAAAAGACTTTGCCTCCGAGTCTGCATGAGTGGCTACAGACACGTGCAACTCCGCTGAAGAACACAACACACCTGTTGTGATGGTATCCATGAACCAGATTCACTGTCTTGGGGTGAAAGTCGACCTTCAGGAAGTCCGTCCAATGCCGCGCCAGGTCGTTGGGCGGCGGGATCTCGCTTGCACCACCGACATTGGTCAGGTCGGCTGAAACGACCCCAAAAAGAAATCTTGATAGTTACGTCTAGGGCCACCAAATAAGAGTAAAGACACTTCAGCCATGAATGGATGGATAAATGCTAAGGGCTGTACCATTTCTAATGGGCGGTAGCTTGCGCCACCTAGTATAAAAACTTTTAAAATCTTAATGCTTAAAGCTATTGCTGCCAGTTATCTGAAGCTTTATCTGGAATCGCAGGAAATGCCTTTCTGTCCTCGAAAAATGTTAAAACTGTTTGCAATGAAGCAAAATGACGTCGTCCGAGCTTTCTGACTACGTATGTAAGCTCAGGAAGTTATGTTTTAGGATCGTAATAATGGCCAATCATGCTTGCTTTGTAGTTGGCAACAAGATGGTGGCTCCCACCAGACGAACAGGAAATGGGGGTGTCTATGCTGTAAGCATTCAGTGGCTCTAGCCATGTTGACAAAAGAGAAGTGCAAGCCAACAAATTATGTAGACTCCCCCCAACTCAATCTCTGATGGTTTCCATTTCCGGCTAATCCAAACAAATAAAAGATATTGGGCTGGCTAGACTTTCTTCCAATGCATCGACAAATTGCTTCAATTAAAACCCAAAATTAGGCTAATTCATACTTTGGACAGGATCTCAAAGCTGAGAACCCAAGGTTTTTTAGCTTTGAGTTTCATTCAGTTCCTGAGAACCCATAGTTTCTGTGGCATTCAGACACCACGGAAAGGCTCCTACCTCGGCAAATGTCTTTGTCCTCGTCGGAGCTAAAGCTGCGTAAGCTCTGAAACGGGACGACATTGGTTAGTCAACACTGTTAACTACAGCAGGTACAAGACGAAAAAAAGGCACGGTCGCTAAAAACCTTCTCAGCACTCAGTGGCTCACCCATGTTATCGACGCTTTTACGATTCCTACCGATTTTCCTACAGAATTAAGCTGAATTAGAGAATCCTGCTGCAGGTAGATACTGCAGATTGTTGGCTATCCACAAAAAGCGTTTCCAATCCACTCAGTTTGCAGCCACATAATAACAATTTTTAAGTTAGTCTCTCCTAAGCTAATAGATTGATAAGATCATAGGAGACGATTCCTGGACATCTGTGTCTTTCTTTATTATTCCCCCATCGAACTTCCAAAATTAATGAACAATAGCTTTGAAAGTGATTACACGAATAAGCTGTAAGAAAGGAGCTGAGGACCCAGCAACTTGTCAGGGGCCTGCATCCCATTAATCTCCATTCAGCCTTCATTCTCCGGTCTCAACCCAAGTCCAAAAGCTAATTCAGACATATGCATCGGCTGCATCCACATCAACCAAAATGGCAGCAGCAGCAAGAACACCAGGACAGGTGACTCATATTATTATTATTTATTCATTATACCTTCAAAGCCGAAATATTACAAAGAGGGTGGGGATTTTGGATTACAAACACAATTAAAAGTTAAATAGGCTCGCAACGAGAATAATTAGCTAGTGCAGCATTAAACATATACTAATCTCCAATTGTCGGTATTGTCTCCGACTGTCGTCACAAAGCTGCTCCTTGAATCTTGCAATGTCGCATACGGCAAATGATCTTCCCTGTGACTACAGGTTGTTTCTGTCGTTTCAAGCATCCTGAGTGCAACAAATGCAACTGTCTGAACCAGGCATAATGGCCGGCTAGATTGAGTGACATCTTTGCGGTCACTGTCACTGTGTCATTGACCTCCAAAGACTTTTGAGGCAGTAAGCGCAAGCAGACGAAATTGCTGCAAACTAAAAATGCACCTTGCAAAGTAAATAGACGTTACCGCCACCGAGACGAACCGCTATGTCTCCCAGGTTCTTGGCTTATCAAGCTTCACTATCATGGATTCGCTTGTGGCGAAAGCAACCCGATCTGTAGTCTGTGTAGTCATTTACAGTTTATAAGCTAAGCTTTTTAACACAGAATGTGTTCTTTGAGTCAAGTTCAATGAGAATTGGTCACAAAAGAATTGTCAAAAAAGGACTTGTGGTGTCATGAGACACCATGATATCATCATGATGTCATGACATCATGATGTCACACAACATGACAACATCATGGTGACATCACATCATTACGTTACAGGATGTCATGATGACGTGACCATTATGTCATACAGTTTCATGATGTCATAATGTTGCATCATGAGGTCATGTGACCTCATGACACCACACACACGTTCCGTGCTCCCCGGTCGTAGTCAGCATGATCAAGCAGGTGGAATCTTTTCGTTAGCATGACTACTTGAGCAGCTCTGCTCGTTGATATTTGTGTGCAAGATATATGGCGCATTGTGGGAAACTAGATCTAGTCATGCATCTTTTACTACAGTGCACGTTCCAGGCACTGCAATACAACCGACCGAGACAAGAGTGGTCTTGAAGCCTCCTGCGACTGCTTACGACCGGCTGCGCAGCGGTGCAGTTGCTCGAAAGCCGCCGCAAGAGGCTTCAAGATCGGTCGAAGTCAAACGCAAGTGTGAGAACGGGCCTTTAAAGGAGTAGTGCAACGATTTTGAGGTTGAAAGAATTCACCGTTTACATTTTTCATATTGGCTATTGTTCTATAAGTAAACAAAAACATGCATCCTTCCCCTAAAATACAGCGATTCTGATGCGTAATCTCAAAGGAAAAAAACAAATTATTTGCCGATCTGCAGCCGCATGTGGCGGTTACAGGAACTGCTGTGTGACATACTCTGGGTGATGTCGTTTGTAAGTTAGCGATTTGTGCAATTTTGTGCTCAATTTAAGGTTATTTTCTAAAAATCTTGTCATTTAAGCGTAGAGCGACACACAAAAAATCTAGTATTATTCCTAAAATTTATTGAATTGTCATGAAGCCTTCTACTGGAAGTGAACAAAACCACCCCCCCCCCCCCCCCCCCCCTGCACAGCCACCCTCCCAGTCGTTCCCGGGTTTGTTTCTGCTGCATCTCAGATAGCATCTTGTTTCCGCACCCAGCTAAAAATTCCCACTAGATCCAACTGGAATTCCAACTAGTTTTAATTGGAATTAATTGGTTTTAATGGGTTTCAGTTGAAAGCACACTGGCCAATGGGTCTCACCAATTGGAATAATTTTTCCAGTTGGAACTTGAATGTGTTCTAAATGGTTCCCGTTGGTTCCCATTGGCAGTGACCAATTGGTTGTCCGAAAGCCTAACTGGTGGTGTGATTGGCCAAAGCCGTTTTGGAGCACCTTTTGGAGCAGCCAAAACAGTGTTTTGGAGCAGCGAAAGTGGCTTTTCGAGTAGCCAAAACAGTGTTTCGGAGCACCAAGTGGAGCACCAAAAGTGGCTTTCGGAGCAGATATTTTTAGAAAAATAAATAAAAATATTCGTTTTAGGTGCTGGACAAACGAAGGGCACTTTGCTCGCCGCGATAAACAAATTATGGTCAAGTTCGATCACCTAGGAGTCTTTCAGGGTGTAACTAAAATGTCAATGACATGACACATTTTGCAATGCTTCAGCTAAAGTATACATATATATGCACCCACTATAGATAGATAAGAACCCATCTTCACATATTAAAATTTATTTGAAAACCAAACTTCACATATTAAAATTTATTTGAAAATGACCAGCTGAGTAGTAAATATCACAGCATTAGGTTGGCTAGTGATATAATATAATAAATGGAAGCAGTCTCCGACTGATGAAACACATAGCCTTTGCAGTGCAATGCGAAATTGCACACAAGAAAAAGGTGCATTACAACTAGCGGGTATTTTTTGTTTTTTTGGAACTTTCTGCAGGGCTGCTGCAAGCTTCGCTTTGGCTTAGGCTAGTAATGAATGTCCACATTCAATGTCTCCAAAGAGACATTGAGACATCCCACAAGTGTACAGTGCTGTACGCGTTGCCGAGCGATTCCGAAAAACCACTTGCCACCGTTTTACTGATTCCCGACGTGCCAGATTTTCGTCAAAAGTAAACGTAAAACAGTGGATTGAAAGCGTCCCGGCTTTTTGCCTCATTCGTGCAATCATGTTTGCATGCGCGTCAGGGCAACTTCGGCAGGCTTGCAACAGCACGTGCTTCGTCGCGCGAGCGGAGACGGCTGTTCGATCGAAACCGAAACCATGCCTTTCCACTCTTTCGCCAACTGGTTTCCAAAAATGTACGCAAAATGTAACTGCCCAACATGCGACAATAAAGAGTCCAGCGGCACGTGCTTGCAAGGCCGGCATGCGAGGTACAAGCTAAACATACAGAAAAAAATAACCTGAGCGCATCGATGCAGGACATCGCGAGTCAGGGTCAAAACGTTCTTGGAGCACTTTGTGCAACTGAACTCGAGACAAACAAGCGCGCTGTGCGGGTTTAGCATGCAGATATTGCCTTCTTTGCTTTAGCTCACTTTTTTTCACCAACTTTCTTTTGCGACAGATTTTTCATGTGCCGGGGTCCCCCTCGAAAGAAAGCCAACTTCCACACAGCAGTCGTCGAGTTAAAAAGAGATTTTGGTAGTAGCGTATGTTTTAAACAAGAACAGGAATGTTGATGAACATGCGGCAGTCTTTATGTTTCAGTTTAGGAAGCTCCATATCTGTAGCGACGTGCGGACTGGCCGGCAGGGACCAAATTGTTTTCCCACCTTTCAGAAGCGAGTGCTTCAGTTCAAAAAGTAACTCCCGCCGCGCAAAAACGTAATTTCGTTTCACAGCGTGACGGTATGGCTGGTACCCAGTACACTAGCGTCTGAGTGTCCGCACAAACCCGCATCTATCGCTGAACAAAAAAAAAAAACGCGAGACGAGATTTACGAGACGACGAGAGCGCGAAAGAAGAGACGGCGGAAAAAATGGGTGGTTCTCATTAGAACCCGTTCGCATTTCTACCTTCTCGTTTTTACCTTCTCATTTCAACCCAGCGCAAAACAACTTTCGCGTTTCTCCCTTTCTCATTTAAACCGTTCTCAAAACAAACTTTCAGGTTTTGACCCTTCTCAAAACGACTTTTCTCATTTTAACCTTTCTCATTTCAAATTTTCTCAAAACATACTTTCTGATTTTGACCATTGTCAGAAAGACTTTTCTCATTTTAACCTCTCTCCTTTCGAACCCAAATTAATCCAACATCATGATCTCGCAACCTTCCTGCGGTATTTATGGCGAATTCGGGTATTTAATTGCCTTCAAGCCCTTGCCTGTGGCACCGGCGACCAAAAACGCGCCAGCGGCGCATCACGTAACTCTCCCCACTCGAATGCAAAGCACAATGAACTGGCGTTTTTATTTGACTGGGTCGCGAGTTAGCTCTGTGAACTTCTTCGATCGTTCTATGGTACCATGAGCACGCTGCATACGCCAACAACATAAATTACGACTCTTTGAGATGTGTGTAAACAGAAGCGGCTTCACAAAACTTTTCAAAATATTGGCGCTACCACAGTCCGTACAGCTGACAGAATATTAAAATATAAAATCGATGAAAGGGCAGATGTACAAATCAGTGTGGTGCTGCCCGCACGCGCGTCAAATTCAATAAAATTCATTTGGATTTTCGATTAACTGTTGCCACGGAGGCTTGCCAGCGTCGCTTTCCATATTCTGTTTACTGTTAGTAGATCAAGAGTTTTAGTAGATCGTTCCCATGACTCCGATAACGATACCCGATACTCCGCCACCGCCTCCCTTGCGCATGCATAGTATTGCTATCGGGGCTATCGGGGGTATCGGAACGATCTACTAAAACTCTCTAGTACCTTTTTTGGAATCCTCAGTCTTCTCATTGCACCCGCCCTCCTTGAAATTGTAATGCGTGTTCAAGTTTCAAACTGCATCACTAGGCATACTTTTTTTTACAGCGGTGTAATAACTTGTTATTGCAGAGTTGTAAAATAAAGTGATGTATGATGCAGCCCATGTCTCAGAGCAAACATACCTTGCTCAGGCTTGATAAATTCTTCCAAAGATGTTGACTTTCTTTGAAACATAAGTTATCTTTCTCTTCATTCTTTTTGCTATCTTGTCTCAGAGCACAAAAGGGTGCCTGTCTCAATGGCTTCATTTGCCACTCAAACCCGCTATTTGCCGCCTCAGCGAGCATTGTTTCGTTTGGTTCCCTATCCCGATTCTGATGTGGCGATACCGGATACAGTCTGGCAGACAAGCTGCCCGACCTCTTGGAGCTCGAGAAAACTTCTGCTGGTAAATTGCCGGTACACGCCTGAGAAGCGCAACCCGAAAAGCTTGCACGCGCCAGCCTTTGACCACGCGAACGCCCTTGCCGAAGATATGGGAAAAATTTTTTTCAGGGAAAATTACCACCCGAATTGGCCATTACAAGCAATAACACACGACTAGCACAATGATCCATCCGCTTCACACGACGACATCTTAACCGACATACAGCGACAGAAGAGAAATGAAGTACCGAATCTGCGCTAGCACTTTTGAAACCACGTCACCATGTGACCATGTAGCTACGTCAACAGACTCGGGGTGGCACGCAAGCATAAGGAAATTTGTTTCATGTGCTATGCAAGAGATGGTGCCGCTTCGCTTCATCTTCAACCTTCATCCTCAACTGTTTTCCCTTCTTTCTATACCTCACTACGGTGTTCAAATGACAACGGGTTCAAATGAGGAAGGGTCGAAACGTGAAAGGTTAAAACGCGAAGGGCGTTTTGCGAATGGGTTCAGACGAGAAGGGTTCAAATGAGAATGGGTTCAAATGAGACGGGTATAAATAAAAAGGGGTCGAAACGCGAAAGGTTAAAACGAGAAGGGCATTTTGCGAATGGGTTCAAACGAGAAGGGTTCAAATAAGAATGGGTGGTTTCGAGATACACCCGAAAAAACAATGCGAGACCGGATGGACGATTGATGTAACTAAAGCAAGGGTGCAGGCGAGCTGGTTCAATACTGACATTGGAGTTTTGTGCCTGTCCTACGTCCCTTCTTTTCCCCGGCTCCAGAGTTACAATGCCACGATTGATGCAGGGTACTTTGTGTCGGGCGGCCGCTTGCGCCACCTAGCTGACACATGCTCAATGACGGTACTCAGTTTAGTTTCGGTTTGAAAGGTGACCAAAATTGGTTCTTTGGCGCAGGCTTGGCGCAGATTACCCATATTTTGGCAAAATGTAGCAGGATTAGCCCCTTGGCGCAGTTTGGCGTAATTGGCGCAGCAATCACATCACTGCAATTGGAATCTAACGGGAATTTTCAACTGAGCATGAGTGGGAGCGCATATACAATGACGGAAAAGAAGAATCTCGTGAGCCAACGCGCTAGCGATGATCGAACTGCTTGGTCTACCCAACGGTCAGCCGATGTCTTGTTCTGTGCCAAGAGCCCACCTTGTGTAAATATTTGTAGATGGATTAAAGAGCTTCAGCAACTTCTCGAGTAATGTCTAGCAGTCTGGTTTGTATGAGGAGTAGATAAGAGTCTGAATTTTCGTTTTCTCAAGTTTCTCAACGTATGATCGTATCGTCCGTTGCAATCATGGGCAATGCCTACCGGGTGTGGTGTTGTGTCGTGCCCGAATCAGAGTCCACTGTTCGTAAACCAAATCCTCCTTTATTATCGTCTACCGCGCAAAAAACGCCTCAGGGGCGTGGTGTCAGAGCTTAACACGCCATGGCGTTGACAGAAAGTTCAGAATCACAAGAGGACCGCTGGAGGACCAAGAAACAGAGGTCACAGAGCCCATACGGAAGTGAAATGATCCCCCAGAGATGTCACGGTGCACGTGACTCGGAAGTACTCTGTCGCCGATGCACAAGCTGAGAGGTGCCAAAATCTTCCATCTTTGCCATTGTTTTAAAATAAAAACTAGCGCACGGAAGCAGAAACGGTCTTCCCTCTTGAATACAGAAATGACCGAGTCCAACTCCCACAATTATTTGGCCGAAGTTCGAAAATTGTCGCACCGCCCCCTTAAGCGGGGAATGCTAAACTTCCGCCAGCCAAGGCTTTCTGCTACTCACCTGGTCCCTGGAATGGCTGCTGGAACTTTTCGGCACAGGCTCCGTCTTGTGAATGGTTACCTTGCCAGACCTGCCAATGTGATGCAGAGAAACAAAAAAGGACCCTCAGCCATCAGGAGGGCTCGAAAAGGTTAGATAGGCAGGTTTTTGAGATCGTGTTTTTTGGCACAAACTCAATCTATGCAACCTAAACATCCTAGTATGTCGAAAATTCCAATCGAGCAAGGCTTCTTTTCGTATTCAAAACGCAACCAAACATTACAGCGCGCCCCTTGTTCTGATATATATATATATATATATATCTCGGAATGGGGGCGTTTTCAGTGCCATGAACTTCCAGGGGCTAGGCGACTTTACTTGAACAGCACGGACTCTACTCCACACATTCTTCTGACATAACCAGCTCAGTAACAACACTGCATGTAGTTGAGTAGAAAAAACGAGTCAGGTCAAAACTTTCATTAGCCATCAGAGAATAAAACCAACTCGATCATACTTTACTAAGAGCACCACCATCACTTAATTCCTATATCTAGATACAGTCAAACTTGCATATATCGAACTCGCAAAAAAATCGGGAATAAGTTTGATTAGCGGGTAATTCGATATAACAGTTTTAATGAATTTGACTCACAAAAATCCACTTTCTGCTGACATATTACACAATGAAATAGTCTTGCATCTCCTGCTGTTTTTTCTTCATTGCATCCGCGATAACAATATTTTTCTACGTATCGACGGACTCCAAAATGCTGAGGCCGCTGCCTTCTATATTCGTGCATTAGCGCCGAACTACGCCGAGAGCACGGAGCACGTCCAAGCAGGAGCACCTTCTCCTGCAGAGCAAAGTTTTGCTCTGCAAGTTGGCTTTCCCCTACGGCAGGCGGCTGCGTTGGGGGAAAGCCAGCTAGCAGAGCAAGCTGGCTTTTTTTTCTTCCGCACGGCTGCGTCAACCGGAAGAAAAAATAATATTCTTTTTTGCGGACGGAGCGGGGAGAGGGAGCACGAAGCACCCTCTCCCCGCTCCCTCCGCAAAAGAGATTTTTTTTTTCTTCCGGGTGGAAGAAAAAAGAAAAAACCAGCGTGCTCGGCACGCTGGCTTTCCCCCAATGCGGCCGCTGGCGTTGGGGAAAAGCCAGCTTGCAGAGCAAAACGACGCTCTTGGCAGTTTTAGTAACCGCTAGTTTTTGCTATATATTATCATTATATATTATATTAGTTGCTACAGCTACTAACTGTAAGTAACCATAGTTTTTGCTATGTATTATCACTGTAACATTACTGTTCACAAAAAATTGTACGATATAAGGGATAATTAGATGTAAACGGGTTCGATATAGTCGGGTTTGACTGTATTCTCTTACACTACGATTAATAATGTAAAGTGTCTTGGTTTTGAGAATTTCATTACCCTTGTGTATTTGTGTGAAAATTTTATATTTAAGATGTTTTACTTTTCCCAATTACCGTAAAACCCCCAGAGATAGCCCACCTAAAATAGAAAGCAAATCGGGTGAAAATAAGCAGTGTTCTAACTTTCAGTATGCTATCGAGAAAGGTGAAAACAAATGCTAATTTCAGGTCATGCGTCCCTGCCAAACTTGTTATTGTGGCGAGGGGCAATGAAGCAAAGATAACTGTACTTCCCAGCTAGCAATGTTCGCTTATATCCCACCATAGCTAACTAGCCGCATTTATGTCCAAGTCATCATTGATTCGGGCACTACAATTACTAATAGAGGGCTATCTCTTGGTGTTTAAAACAAAATTGCAAATCAAGTCAAAAATAGGGGTGGGTTATCTTTCGAGGGTGGGCATCTCTCAGGATATTATGGTAGTACTACACATAAGAATATTTAAGTGACTGATCCACTTATGACGTTCATGTTCTACTCAAGATGCATGTACTTTGTTTTATATGCGTATGTTCAATCCAGTTAAAATCCCTCGTGGGATTTACAGTATCTTACAGTATTTTTAAATAAATAAATAACAAGTTAGCTAAAAGAGCAACGCCAAGCCAATTTACGAGGGCATTTTCCCGTTATTTGATCCGCGACCAATAAAAAGATATTTGCACGGATGAAGCAGATGACACGCAAGCTGCATTGGGAGCGTCAGACACCCATGGGGGCACACCGTTCCGCTTGACAGCTGTCTGGCGACGCCACCAATGACAACGTCCATGCTATGCCGCATAGCGAAGCACTCCCTGCTCCAATCTATTCTAATGCGGTACTGGAGTCTTGGTTGCGTCTGCACCTTCTCGCAGCCGTGTTTCTCCATCTCGCTCCGAAGTAAACATTTGGCACCTTGACATTCCAAGCCTACTTACGTCCAGCGCTGCTCTGCGTGTGCTTCCCATCATTCCACCAGCAGGAGTTGCTCGAAGCTCTTGTTTAATCGTGTGTCCCGCAGTTGTGAGCGGCAACGCTGGCAACATGCACTACATTTACTATTTACATGAGCTGGAAGATGCCCCTACGAAGTGTTTCTGTGTTTGGAGGCTTCGAAATCACTACGGAATAACAATCACCAGTGATAGTAATTGATTGAGTCTACCTGACACATACTTTTCGTTCCCCTATCACATTGCTCTACGCTTGCTGGCGGAATGAATAGGCGTACTGGAATTAAGACGATTGCGGCACGTTTTGCAGGCGCATAGAGGGCATGCGTGTCCTCAATTTTCTGGTCTAATGTAAAAAGTTACCGCCGACCGTGACCCTGAACGTTTTGTGTAGCGTTCTGCTCGGGTTGGCTGGCATTAGTTATAAACTAATGTTGGCTGCTACACTATGTAGCCAACCTTGCCAGTTCGGCCACTGCCTACGCGAAACGCTTCGTCTAGGAGTCGCTCCGTGGCGATACTGTCATGCTGCACGCTTCCAATACTAAAACAAGGTATGCACCGGGTATGCGGAGTGGAAGTTTGTCCACTTCTTGGCAGGGGTTGCTGCAATGTCAGAATGCCGAGCTCTCGTTGGCTCCGATTAGAAGGATAGTGGTTAGACCTCGAGGCGGCTAGAGCATTGAGGTCTACCCACTACCTTTTCCATCAGAGCCAATCGGAGCTCGGCCCGTTCTGAAGCCACTGCAACCCCTGCACAAGAAGCAGACGAACTGGCACTCTGCACTGCGTGCAAGACGCCAAGGCACAGTGTCTGGAGCGCGTCTTTCACTGGTGTGTTCATCACCTCCTCCTGCCCATGCATAAAAAAAAGTGACGGCAAATTACGTTACACGAGCCGGTGTGCTGCGCTTTCGGACGTTGCAATTGGGCTGGTTGGTCATGGAAGTTTCAACCCAATAAAGACGAGCAAAGGCAAGCGTCGCCGTCGTTGCGGCGTCCCAATTCGTTGCTACAGAAGCTTCCGTGGACTGTCAAGACGGAGAGCGAACTGCAGCAGAACAGGTGCCTGCTGCATCCACATCTGCCGCTGTAGCACTCTCAGGATCGCGGCAGGTGACGGTACGACACTTCCATGACATCATCAGGTGGAAGTTGAGAGCCCACATTTGAGGACGCGGTAAACGCAGGTGTAGGAAAAAATGGCTCCGGAAAAAGTGGCCCCGAAAGAAATGGCCAAATAAATGGCCCCGGAAAAAATGGTCCCAAGTGGCAAGCAGGAAAAAATGGCTCCAGGGTAAGAAAAAAATATAACATGCGAAGCTCATTTCGAAAAGGGAGGCCATAACCTCACTTCTTTTTCCAACGGAGTAATCACAGTCTGTTTTGACGTGATATCATTTATTATTTTTGAACGAAAAGAGACGAGGGAATACACTTCAACATACTTGAGTGAACATTCTCAGTTCAGTTTCAGTACATGCAAATTCCTTAGAAGCAGGTCGTACGGCCAACAAAACGAAGAAAGTTCTCAATTGTGGTCGTCCCAGCGGCATACCTCTCACAAAGGTTCTTGAGACGGCGCTGCGTGTCGACGACCGCTGACGTGCTTCTCTTTTTGGGAGGTGTGCCGACTCGGTCCTGGGCCATCTTCACAGTCACGGTCGGCTCCTAGGCTCGAGCCTCAAACATGCGTAAGGCATCGATGGCCTTCCATACTGTTGGATCACTGTGACCGACAATGCTTCCTAACCTCCACTTCCACACTTCCAAAAAATTGCTGGTCCTGTGGCCTCCTTTTACAGTGGCAGAGTGAACATTCCACATAAGAAGTGGATAGTTCGGAGACGTTTGTCGTAAACTAACAATACCGTTCGCTCGGTTGACACGCCTGTAACTTCCAGAAACATAGGTCATGTCAAAATAGTTCAGAAGTCCATCTGCAGCTGCCTGCATGATCTCTTTATTCATATGCTTGCCATCTTCGATGTCTTTGGGTAGAAAAAAAAAAAGCGAGAGCATCCAGACACTTACTCTCTCCAATTCCCCCGAAAAAGAAAAAAAAGAAACCTATAGAGTAGATTGACTCACCGTCAAAAGTAGGTCATTGTGACCGGGCCACACGAAGGTCGCCGCTTTGGGACCATATTTTTCTACACTGCACATGGGACCATTTTATCCGGGGACATTTTTTCCGGGGCCATTTTTTCCCGAACCCGGTAAACACACCAGTTGAAGACGTGCTCCACGAACCATACTCCGTGGCTCTTTGGGCGACGGTGATATGGAGTGAGGAAAAAGGGTGATCTGACCAGGAGATCTGTTCTTTGGCAGATGGCGGGGGATCGTACAGGTCGTTCTTGAGATGGCCAAGGCTTCCCGGAAGGTCGGCCACCACCAGTCGTGGCGTGTACGTCAACTGCCCCTGCGCAGCCCGTACAGCGGGAGATGCAAGCTACAATGGCAGAGCTTTAGTACATCAACTTAATCGTCCAGGTATCTAAGATCGAACTACTTGAGTTACTTTCTTTCTTTCTTTCTCCCTCGAAAAAAATGAAAGACGTTTACAACTCCCTGCTATGCCGAATTAAAGCGCAGCTCTTGAGGAGGACGAGGGGAGATTACAGAGGGTTCGGTATGCCTCTCCTCTTCCTCCGTACCCTCCCCTCCGCCTGCTCCTCTCCTCCTCCCCCTCCTCCTCCTCCCTTGCGACACACTCGTGACCCTAGTAACCCTCGTGAAGGTCACTGTGAAGGTCGTGACTTTCACGAGTGGCCTTCGCGATGTCACTCATGACCCTAGTGACGTCACGTGACGTCATTATGGGTAACTTCCCATAATGCAACGCACAATTACGCCGACGGCTACGGCATCGCCGCTCAAGCAGGAAACGGGTGCCTAAGAGCTGCGCTATAAAAACACAAAAAGGAAAGGTACCGATGCACCACCCGTCTCTGTGAAGTGCAGATCAAAGGAACAAGTTACGGTGGCAGACTGTGAGTCCACCTAGTTTAATGCCCAACCGGGTTGTCTGGGATCAAGCTACTTCGGTTACCCTTAATTTATTTTTTCTCCCTCGAAAAAAAGGAAGAAAAAGGAAGGGTACTTGTTTGTTACCTGTCCCTGTGGAGTGCAGATTGCAGAATAGATGAGCACTAAGGCGGCACACATCGAACTACTTTAATTACCCCTTTCTTTTATCCTTCAAAAAAAAAAGAAGAAGGACGAGCATCAAAGTAGTTTTATAGTCGTGACTAGAGCCAATATATGAGCTATGCTTAGAGTATCAACACTTCATTTCCCAATAGACTACTTCCATAAAGCCCTACATGCAACACGGCGCGCGCTGCACTCTGGGAACTAGTTGGCCAGCCAGGGACGAGGGTGGCATGGTTTCGGTTTCGATCGACACGTCGACAAGAGATTATACACAGAGCGTGGACTATTAACGGCCGTTATCTCATGTTTTCTGGTCCCGAGAGCGTCATTTGTGGTCTCTAAACTAACCTAAATGGCCAGACCTCGAAGCTTTAGACAAACCCGAGACGTATAGCTTGTCTTAACTCATGCTTGTTGCATTTTTGTACTTGAGCCTTTCTGTTAGCGTTCCAATCGAGGTATGTGGACGAGCCAGTGCTGGGAATCTCGACGCTGCGAAGCTCGGGGATCTTGCTTGTGTACGAATCAACAAGTTCTAGCAACCAGTAAGTATGCATACACCGAGCTCGCGCCTTTACATTAGTGTTGTTGATCAGCAAGTTTGTTTGTTTCGTGCATCCATAGACGAAATATCACTTTTTGCAATTAATGTTCTTCTTAATACGCCTGAGTATGCGAGGTAAAACTCGGAGGCGCCATTGAAAAGCTCAATTTTAACACACTTCTTATCTCTTATCTGTACTGACTCGCAGCACTGCACGAAGTGAGGTCTCCACCCGCTTGGCATTCCACTAATGTCAACATGGCGTATGCGCATAAAGTTATCCTGCCAATCATATAGGCACATTCGCACATACAGACCGTTTTTAGAAAGCAAAAGTCGAGCACTTGTGTGAAGAATGTCGCAATGTTCGCCGGGAGTGCGCCGGACGGGTATGAACACCTATGCGCTGCGCCAAACGAACGAAATTATTGAAAGCGCGTTTGACGGTTGCTAATGGCCATAATATTTGTTATGTGTTTGCTTTCTTCCTGCCCGAGTATGTCGAGATAATTTCAGACACACCGTTCAGGCACAGATCTTGGGCGTCAGTAAAAGCTCGTCCAAAAGGGCTTAGCGAGGAGTAGGGGACGCTTGTTAGGGCCTCCGTCGTAGCTAGCCGATCTCAGCGTTTGCGAAAACTTAATCTTCTGTCAGCATAAAATTTGAGTGGGAGATATATGATGACACGAGGAAGACATCATAGTAACTTTTGTGTAGTAGTTAGGTCGAATTTATTGCGTTTCCTTAAAAGTTCATGCGTCAGCGCTGGGCTCAACTTTGATACTCCTGTGAGAATGCGGCTTGCTTTTTGCCCAATGAAGTAACAAGAAGCGGACGTTTGGCAAACAAAATAGGTGAAAGGCTCCAGATGAACAAATTTCAGTTCTAGTTCACTGGTACTAGACGGGATTATTGAAATTGAACTCAAAGATTCACTCGTGGGGTGAGGTGACTAAGCCACGTCTTACTACGTTTGCATACGCACTCATAATATCCGGTGTTTCGGGAACCAAGAAAAGTGCCCCGGTCTTCGTTTTGTATCACTCGAGAATGAGTGTATTGTACGTTCGTGAAAAGTCAGATAATCGAAAACGCAAGCAGCGCGTTCGGTCGCGGCGTGATAGCATGAGATGAAGCTGCTCAGTCGAAACCGAAACTGAGCGGCCAACTAGTTCCCAGAGTGCACTGCGTGGTATTTTGCCACGATGGGGCGCGTCGGTTTTGGAAGAAGTCCATTGGCTCGCAACTGGTGATTGGTATGATTAGAAAACGCACCTTTCTGAGCTTCGGATGCGGCGTTGGGAAGCTCGGGCAACTCTGCTTTGCTCCGTTGCAGGCCATCTCAACAATATCAAAGGATGCAAAAAGCGTTTCCCACAATTTCAGATAAACTTTCGGATATAACTGCTAACGACGACTGCAAGCGACTAAACGGACGAAATGTCACTCACTCGAAGCACGACTTATTCTGTGGCTCTATATCCACATAGTTACGGTTGATTGCTTAACAAAACGTGGTGAAGAGCCATTTGAGCTTCTTGCCTCGAGGCACTGCTGCGACGTTACCGCACTCGCCGACCGAAAGAGAATGGCACGGCGTCTCTTTCGAACGCCCAGCCTCCAGCATGCGTTCGTTTGCCTTCCAACTGCTTTGGCTGTGCACGCCTCGTCAAGGTTTGGGAGACGCTTTGGCGTCTCCCGAGGTGGGAAGCTCGAGCCGGTGGCAGAACACCCGAAGCCCCTCCCTGCCGTTTCGCCTTGTCGGCGACTATGCAAAACTACTCGGTTGGGAAGCTGCCGTAGAAGCCCGCTGCGAAGAGCTGGCTTCTTCGCAGCGGGCTTCTAGTCTAATTGATAAGTCTAATCCAAACTTCGGCACCGAGCTACAAGCGATTGTCGGGCCCTCCACTGCAGCGGCAACTCCGGAGATCGGACGTAGTGGAACGGAAACGACGAAGATGGTGGGGTTGTGCCATGCTGCAACTTCCATCCCAGGCGAAAATTCAAAGTGGTTTTGCAAGTGGTCCCACTTGAAGAACACTTTGGTTAAAGTGATTCCACTTGGACGGCCAAGTGGGACCACTTGCCTCCCAAGTGGTTGTAGTCAGAAAACCACTTGGCCCCAACTGGTTCCATTTTCCTTCAAAGTGGTCAGTCAGAAGACCAGTTGGTCTTAGGGGGTTCCACTTGCCTTTCAAGTGGTTACAGCTAGAAGCCCAGTTGGACCTAAGTGGTCCGGAAATTAAAAACAGCGCGGAAAGACGAGGACCAGACAAAGAAGTGACACGGACGTAGCGCTGACTTACAACTGAGTTTATTGAACGCAAACTCGCAATATTTATTTGCGGTGTCACGAACAAAAGAACATAAAAAATTCAGCCCATGTGATGTATCACCAATAAAAATAAAACAATGATAAAAAAACATTGAAAAAAAAAAAACATTGAAAAAAACATTGAAAAAAATAATAATGAAATGCGCCATGACACAGCCGTACAGAGTATGTGCTAAAAATCGAGCAAGTCACGGAACTAGAAAATTCATCTCTTTGCCTGATAGGGCCACAGAAGGACTGCTTACACATGCTGCACCCAGCCTCGCTATCTCAACAGCCTCTAGAATTTCCCGAGTAAGCTGGTCCCTATGACGCTTAACAACCTCACACCGTTGGAAGTCGGGAAGGCAACCACAGTCGCGGCAATGAATGCCCAGGTGACCAGACACGGTTGTGGAGACACTGTAAGCGTGCTCTCTCAACCTGTCGTTGAGACAGCGGCCCGTCTGGCCAACGTAGCGCCTGCCACACGTCAGAGGGAGAGAATAAACAACCCCCTCCGAACACGGGACGAAGCGATCTCGATGCCTCGTACTGCAAGCCGTGGCCGCCCTCGAAGAAGGGTTAACAGCTCTGCACAACCTGGACAGCTTGTCCGGGGCAGAGAATAAAACGTCGACGTCACACCTGCCAGCAATGCGTTTTAGGTTGTGGGACAGGCCGTGTACGTAGGGAATAACCACAAACTTTCTTCTTTCCCTTCCCTTTCTGTTGTTGGCCTCTTCTTCACTTCTCATAGGGCTGCTCTTGATATCTTTCAGCAAAGACTCGGCGACCGTTGTTAACACGTGAGAGGGAAACCCAGCATCTGCGAGGCGTTCAGTTTGCCTGTCAAAGCTATGTTTAATTTTATGATAACAAGACCTACGCAGCGCATGTGTATAGCAAGTCCTTGCAATCGCCCGCTTGACAGTTTTTGAGTGAGCGGACTCGAATGGCAACAATGGCTTTCCAGCACGGGGTTCATAGCTCCAACAAAGATGACCTGGACATATAGTTAAATTCAAATCCAAAAACCGGATGCATCCTGCCTCAGGCACTTCATGAGTCAGAACAAGTGGCGAAAGGCAATGACTAAAAATGCCTAAAACGTCAGTCACTGACGAAAGAAAGGATACGGCATCGGCATGAAACAAAATCAGAAAATCATCTACGTACCGGAAGACCTTTGCAACTTTGGTTCCCCCAAGCCGTTCAAAGATGAGGCGGTCAAGGCTCGCTAACAACAAGTCGCTAAGTACGGGGGCAATGCAAGAACCAATACATACCCCTTGCCGTTGCAAATAGATGTTACCCTCCCAAGTCGCAAAGGTCGACCTCAGATACATATCAAGGAGTTCCATGAAGCCTTCAACTGAAATTCCCGCAGCATTTTGAAAGGCAACTA